GTCCATGTTTTCTTGTTGTTTGAGCACGTATTTTCTGTTTTTTCTTTTTTTTTTCGGGTAGAGCTACTAATTACTTCTCAAGATCTATCGCTTGAAATTTGGATCAATTTCACTGTTTTTGGTTTGCCAAGTTTCCAACAGCAATGTAATTGTAGCAACTTTAGCCACATGTTTTGGACAATATTGGAAACAAATTGTCTCTACTAATGTTCATCAACCATGGGTTCTTCAAGGCAGCAGACATGGTGTCATAAAACTATAATGGCAAAGAACAATCATTATAGCGGCAATTTTTTGCTACTTAGGCCGGGGGGAAACCGATGTAAGCCTCAGAGTTCTTATATTCAACAAAAAAACCAGTCTCTGCCCGCAAAATGCTGGGCACAAAGCCGCCAAAGAAGTGAATCGGGTTCAGAGCCAGTTCAAAGCAGTTCCAAGACTTGCGTTTGAAATCTTTTGAGTTTAACTCATGTTATTCAGAACAGGTATAGTATCCAAGAACCAATCATCTACGGAAAAACAACACGTGATTTACATATGTTACATGCGAATAAACTGCAGCGACCTCAACTCTATTTTTTCAGTTTTTTTGCGTCAAACCTGCCTCATTCAGTGACTTTGAAGCATTTTTTCACATGTGGCGCATGCAGTCCACAAATTTGATGAATTTTGCTTACGTTACCTGATTTTTCTTGCATAGTTGGCACATTGTTGCGCGTATGAATTCCTGCAATTTCTCCGCCCTTTCTCGCAATTTTTTCTCGCAACTTCTCCGCATATTCTCGCAACTTCTCCGGGTGCATATTTCGCAGGAATTTCTCCGTTTGTATTTCGAATTTCTCCGTTTGTATTTTTAATTTCTCCGGTTGTAGTAGTTGTTGTTGGTTTCTGTTTGTTTTCCTATGGGCACACAGTTTTGATCAAAGTTCTTTCAAAACAAGCTTGCTTTTGGCGCTCAAGGTATCTAAAACCTATCGAACCCATCATAATTTAATTACATCAACAAGCAAAGCTTCAGACTGCACATCTCCCACAGGCACGTGGCCAATGCTTGCAGGTATGGCAGTTTATCCTTGTTTTCCGTTTTCTGTTCCGTCACCGGCGTCAAAATTTCAGCACCGAATTTGCATTGGTCTTGGAATTATATATTATTTGCCTTTGACTGCCACCAACTTCTTGCCCGGAAACTTTTTTATCATCAAGCTCTGGAAGTCCTGAAGCAAGCCCCTCTCCATCCTGATATATCCTCCCTGATATCCCTAAGGATCTCGATCCCTGGTTCTTAAACTTAAACTTATTCTATGGAGCAAGCCACATGCCAAATCTTTACGTTTATACATGTGCAGGTTATACTGTACATGACTTCACTTCGCATCCAAACCACTTACTATTTCTGATGTGACATTCCGTTCTTGTAGCGCGTAGTAGCCAGTTTGCCCCCAAACTAAGCTACCTTGCATTAATTCTTCGTCGCATCGTCTATTTTATCACGGCTACATTACTTTTTCTTCGCTTTAGATTCTAAATCTGAAGGGTTTCCATCACGTATGATGTTACAGTAGTTTAGTATGATCAAAACAAGTAAAATAAAACCTTCCAATAAATGTTCTCTCTGTTTTCCATCACTTTATTGTCCAAGCCTTAAGTCAACTCTGCAGATTGACTCGACGGACTTTAAAGAGATTAAATTGACACGAATTGTTTCTTGCTTAACCCAATGCCCTAGATGTTAATCTAAGTTCTATTCTTACCATTCCTTTTCACAAGTCAATTAGTTGCGTCATTTCCGTTGAAGCACCCGTAATCTCTATGTAAATAGGTTCTGCAACCGTCAGCCCAACCAACCAGTAACTTAAATGAATAAATCACTCCAAATTAGTTTCACTGAGTTTTACAGCCTGAAAACCATGTCATTAAATCTATTTATGTAAGTCAGGTTGAATCAATCTAAATTAAGTTCGGCTATAAATCGTTGAAACCGCAAATTATGAAATAGTTGTCTTCAAACATTATCCGCGGCTTAATTTAAGCCATTTTGTGAATTAAGTTGCACCTGTTTTTCTTTTTTTGTTCAAGTTAGACAGGGTCTTGAATCCAATCGACCTCCAAATATGCCAGCAGCACCCCGGAAGTAAGAACCCCATCGACGTGGCGCATTCCATACCAAAACTGCGGTAAAGGTCAATCCCACATGTATCCCTTTCGTTTTACCAAATTCTGGCTTTTCTTTTCCTAATCGTAAGAATTCTTTGCGGTTCACACAGAATTGTACTTATTTTTCAATGTTCCTTTGGTTTAGGCTTAGCTATTGTTGGTTATGATACAGTTGACCAAATCTATCACATTTCACTTCACTTAATACAAACTTTCACACACTTAATATAGATTAAAAATCTATCACATTTCACTTCACTTGACTTATTTTTCAGATATAATTGAAGATTAGTTGATCTATTGCACGTAATTTTGATTAAACTTCAATCTATCGCACTGGAATTGTCTTTAAGCTGAATTAAAACCCATCACACTTAAGACGTTCATTTACTAACTTAAATCATCAAAAAAAATGGTTGTCAAACGATCAACTTTTTAAATGTTTCACAAAAACTACATTGAAACCGGCATAATGCTACTAAAAAATGCTTAAATCGTTCATATCAAACATATATGAGCAGTACACGATTTTAAGCAATAGAAACTGTCGGGGTTGCACACTGAAAACCTAACAAATGGATCTTACATCCTACTCCCAAATTCTCGCAACTGTTTTGCGAATCGCAGGAATTCCTGCAACTCCCCCAAAATCGTAAAATTTTTGCAAAATGTTAAAATTTCATAGTTTTCAGGCTTAGCTGGTAATTATATATATATACATTTCTCTTGTCTATCTACCTATCCATATCTATGTATCTGCCACACATCCACCACGTCCCCCGCGCAACCCAAGAACATGCAGAAATGCCCCCTGCTGCATGGGGCAAACTTTCCTCACATGCCGAAGGTCCGGCCCGAGAATCTCTTTGACAAACTCAAAAGCCAATGGTCGGGACTTCAGAGTCATGGGGGGACGAAACTCGAGCGTCGCCATAATCCGCAGATGCACGGTCGCCCTATTACGCTCTGGGCCTCAAATTCAAACTCCTGCGGTCTAGCAACATGAAGGCGCAAGCCAGAGATGAATCCAAGTCGTTGTGGTCCCACCGTCAGTCATGTCCAAAGTACCGGCCGCAATTGCACTATAGGTCACTATTACAATAACAAGAATGTGGCACTCCAAGCCTCAAGAATATGACTTTTGCCTCCATTTCTTTTTCAATATACTGCATTTCACACTTGTTCCGTTCCTCTCTGCTAGGCCTCCATCTGCCATGCTTGCACGCTGGCCGTGTGCTTGCCGTACGGCAGTTCTCTCCTCTCCATAGGAGAGAGGACCCGCCGCCCCTGCCGCAGTAGAGTCGGTAGGGCCAAAAACCCCCGCGTTTTACGGTGTTTTGTGCTCTTCCAATTTTTTCCCATTTTTCGGCCTTTGTGGCTCGGTCAACATGGGCCAACATAGGCCGCAAGATGGACCAACATAGCCAAGATGCGGGGAACATAGCCCCCAAGATGGGCCAACATAGCCCCAAGATGGGCCAACATAGCCCCAAGAAGGGCCAACATAGCCCCAAGATGGGCCAAGATAGCCCCAAGATTGGGCCAACATAGCCCCAAGATGGGCCAACATGGCCCCAAGATAGGCCGCCGACCATCAAAATATACTGCGTTTTACAGTGTTTTTTTCCTGTTCCAATTTTTCGGATCTTTTGGCTCAACATGGGTCAACATGAGGCCAACATAGCCACAAGATGGGCCAACATAGTTGGGCCCCTGGCCGGCTGTCGCGCGTAAGCGCTTAAATCCGGCGATGCCTCGCCGTTTGTGGTGGAAGCTAAGCATAGCTTTAGCTACCCGGTGGCGCCCCTGCCGCCGACCCTCCCCTAAAATCCTTCAGCCTGCTGGGTTTTCACGTTTTCAGGGTTCGGGGTGAGAAAAAAGAGTGTAAAATGCGAAGATGCGTTTTGGAGGTCCTTGTTGGGGATTTTTAGTCAATTTTTCATAATTTTTTGGTATTGTCGACGCGTAAAAATCCTGTAATTTACAATGTTTTTGTGCCTTTGGCATCTAAAAAAAGCTTCTGACAACATGCTGGAAACTGCGTAAATACCAGTGTTTTTGCTAGGCCCGGGCCACAAAACACTGTAAATACCGTGATTTTTGCTAGCAGAGGCTCAAAACCTCGTAAATACCGTGGTTTTGCGTTGGCGCGGGGCCAAAAACATCGGTATTTACGGTGTTTTTTTGTTCCGAGAACGTGAAAAATCGCGAAAACACCGCCTATTTGATGCTTTTTGGGGGTTTGCAAAAACCGTCGCTTTGACGATTTTGGGAGTTTGCAAAAAGTACCAACTACTAACAACGACAACGACAACAGGACCAAGCAGCAACAGCTATAACAACAATAACAACAACAACAACAACAACAATAACGACGACGACGACGCCGACGACGACGACGACGACAACAACGACAACGACGACAATGACGATTCTTACCTAGTTCAGATGAAATCCCCCTCTCTCTTTCCCTCCCTCGACCCCTACAGGCATCGCCGGTGTGCGAAGCTCTACAATATTACTGTAAACCTGTAAAAACAAACACAGTTCGGCACTGTTTGGGATACTAGCACGCAGTTACCCTGCAAACCCTCCAATCTCCAATATTCTGGTTCCGTCGGCCAGTGGCATCGTTGCAATTTACGGCAACACCACAACATGTAATAGAAAGAAAAGTAATTTCATAATATTTCATACCAAAACCAGGAAAACTGAGGATACATATGAACCATTATGAACCCCCCAAAAAGAATAGGAACATATAGGAACAGTAAAATCGCACAAAGGTGATAACTCACTTTTCTATCTCTTGGGGATTGCTATGCCCGGGCTTCATTGCTCTGCACCTGTGCTCTCGGCATTGCTGCCATCGATGGGGATCGCCTCTACTAGCAGTCATCTGATTGGAAGCAGCCAACAAATCATGATATTAATATGTTTTTTATCTATGTTGGGGAATGATGATTAATTTGGACATCTTCATTATCATCTTTCCGGAATGCATTGGGTTTGCTGCTTTTTCATGTTTTTATTTTCTATGACACGCTGTTTTTGGACTCAAATGACTGAACCCTGGGCGCCTCTCGGGCTTCACGACGCCGAGGAGAGGTCGACAGGAAGACCCCAAAGGCCACGAGGAATGACAGGAGGTTCCGTGGCAAGGCACTGGCCAGAACCTGAAAGGCTAAACCTTCAAAGCTGGCCCTGCAAAAATGAAGGGTCCGTCATCCATGAACATATGTAATTACAGAATGATATATATATATATATATATATAGCGGAATTGTTCTTAGGACCCATGCAAGATGCATAAAAATCCAACTTCACAAAGAATAGTCAATCGCACATAATGTGGAATTATGTGGATTTGTATGTGGTGTATTTTACGATACCACCCACCATTTTATTCTATCCTATAGGTACCTCATGGTTGCCTTACATATACTGTATATCATATCTTAAATTGATTTAAAATGCACAAGGCAAATGAACACATTTTCGCACCCAAACCGTGAGACCCTTCACATCGCGATCTTAGTGCAGCCGCGAGGCGAAAGAAAGAAGAGTCAAGGACAATTGCCTTGGGCCAAGGGTCAAATGCTGGCTCTGCTGATTTGCAGCTGGCCCTTGAAATGTCTTAGTTAACTGCCTGCTCTCGCAGCAAAAAAAACATCTCAGACCACGTTTTGGCACAAAGTGAATCATGATTACATGATGGCCACAGAAACTTCCAGAAATCCAGCTCATAGTCGATCTGGAGACGCGACTGGCGAGAATGCCTGGACTAAGAGGTGAAGTCTGAGGCTCTTGCGGAATGGCATCGCGTAGCAGCAACAAGAAGCCTGACATAGCTGATGGGTCCTCTGGAGGTGAAGTCACCATTGGATATTGCAGAAATACCACGAGAACATAGGACTGATAAACATACCACCAAGACGAACCAAGCAGCCGAACCAACCACCGCCATCTTTTGGGCTTTTCATGTTCTCTCTAACTATCCAATCTAGTCCAAATCTCATCCAATTTATCCTCTCTATCCTAGCTAAATATCAAATCTACATCTACAAGTCTATACTATACTATACTATACTATACTATACTATATATACTATATATATATACTATATTTTCTAATACGCATATCCACATTGCGTAATCAATTCCCCCAAAAACAAAGTGAAAAAAACACCAATCATCAAGACCAACGATGCACGGCAGCTGCAGCGCAGCTGCAGCTGCAGTCGCTAGCCTGTCCTTGGTCTCCTTCATTTTTACATCTCGGGGTTTCTTAAGTCATGGGGGATCCTTAAGGCACCATAGTTGTTTCAAGACTACGTCGTGGTCATCCAGTCATCCGTGACTCGGATGATTTGGGAGTACCTTCATTTTAGGAAACCTCCAATTTTCACACCTATAAATCCCATTCAATCCCAAGAATCACCATGTCTGGCTATTTCCCATAACGGCTATTTCCCATAACCTGAAAAGTTTAGCACAATTTCTGGGCTATAATTATCCCATCCCATTAAATTCAATCCCCATGTTCAGAATCACTATGGCGATTTCAGTATCTGGGATGTAATTCTCCTGTTAAATCCCATAAAAAAAGAAACATATCACCATTATATAATCCATGATCGGCAAAAGTTGGTATCTGTTGGGGCATATCCCATGGATCATTTCCCAACAACTATCCATATAAATTATCCATAATTATTCGATTCGGATCATTCACTAAATTAAGATCATTATAAGAATTATCCATTGGATATAAACAATCCATTTACCATCTGGTTATTTAACATAGCCATGGACAATCACCATTTTATAGCTAGGTAGACCATCTATTTCTATGGGCCATCTATACCATGGCTATGTTAGTCATAACCAGAGGGTATATCATCCATTGGATAACTCCATATAACGATTTCCCATAAATATTTTCATTGGATTATTTATCAATCCATTATATTTATCCCATTAAATCCCATTAAATCCCATTAAACCACCATTTTCCCATGGTTTTCCCATGGTTTTCCCATAGAAAGAATCACCATGGATCATTCCCCAAAAACCGATGGTCTTTCGCCGCTTGGATCCGCACCTCGTGGCCGCGCCCTGGGCGCTGGACTTTGCGCCTTGCGCTTGGCCGCGCGGCGGAAGAAGGCCACGCTGGCGGCCAGGGCGGCGGCGGCGGCCTGAGAGGCCATGGCCCCTAAAAAAAGAGGCCATGGCCATGGGGAAATGAGAGGAAATGATGGGAAATTGCCATGAACATATACCAGTTGAATACTTGGGGGTTGTGAATTTTATTGATTTTTTTCATGTTAAGTGATCTTAAAATATGTTGAAGGTCAGGTGTTAAAGAAAATGAACGTTGCACCCCCAATCACTGTCCCTTTGAACAAATATTAAGAGACGAAATGCCATGAATTGTTCATTCATTTTCCCTACTTGGAGAAATGATCTAGCATTGCCATACATTTTTGTGGCATAATGGGGTACATTACCCTATGAAACATGCACCCAAATAAACAAATCATTTTTCAAAATCTTTGAACATGATATTTTCATATATTTTCAAGAAAAAACTGATGGTGTTTTTGGCCAACCAGGGCCTACAGCAACTTTGACGTGGCTTCGAAAACTGTGAAAACTGGTTCATCCAACTGGGCAGGGTGACACTTCAGCAGCTTCTTGGATTAGCCAACCATCACCTCTGTCTCCCATAAACTCCCACTTCCGCTGCCCATTGAGTTGGGGATTTCAGAAGCCCATGATTGATGACCGAGGATACTTCTCACTGTATTCCCATGAGATTTCCGTTGTGGTTGTCTCATCCCCATTTTTGGCCAGCTTCCTCCCCCCTTGGCCTCTTGAGGCTTGGCGCTGGGTGTTTCGGCTTCCTGCAGGTTAGCTGCTATCTGTTGTGATGAAGAGTTTATCACTCATGAAAATACACGAAGATACCGGGGAGATGTAGGGAATATACTGATTTTTCAGCGATAAGGGACAAGTGAAATAAATTGAAATAAACTCATCTACAATCGGAGTGTCCCTGGAATTTAGATGAATTTTAGGCCATCAATGTGACAGAAATCAATGGCTATCAGCCCTATCGTGGGGTTTCGATGTTAAACTCGGTCCTTGGCCTTCACGCCAGCCGCTGCAGCGTGCCGGCGGCGCTGCAAAGGCCGAACCTGTGGGTTAAGCCACAGTGTAAAGTTCCGATACTGTGATATGTAATATATATATAATATATATATATATATTTATCATAGACGATCTCTTATGGATCTCATAAGAGATCCATTACTGTATTAATCTATATATGTATATATCATGCCTATAGATGCCAAATAAATATATTATAATATGTTTACAACTACCACATATTGCATATGATATATTAATGCAGCCGTTTACTGTATTTATCATGATAGTATATTGTATACTATACTTTATACTATTTTTACAATAGAACACACACATACTATAAATATATAATTCTATATATTTATATATTATCTCTATAGACATCCTATAGATGATCAATGATCCAAGCGATGGGTCTGTTTAGCAGTCCCCTCGGAGCCTGAACAAGACGGTACAGATTTTTGCTGGTACTTATACCCTCTGGTAAACTAACATAGCTATGGAAAATGGACCATTTATATCCATAAAGTTAGGTGATTTTACCATATTTTACCTATTTAAACAGTGATTTTCCATATAGCTATGTTAGTTTACCAAAGGGTACTCTATAGTTATTCCATGGATGCAATTTGATCCTTTATGCCTGCAGCACATGAATGACACACAAATCCATGGAATACCATACAAATCCATACAGTAATTACCATCTGTATCTGTATCTGGTTGGTGGTATACCTACCCCTCTGAAAAATATGAAAGTCAGTTGGGATTATATATTGTTTCCAATTTCCAATATATGGAGAAAAAAAAACATGTTCATGTTCCAACCCACCAACCAGGTATGTTTTATAAGTGTGCAAAACAAGCGCACACATCATTAAACATCAAACAGTTTGCATGACAGAGTTTCTTTCCCGCCTGTGGCCAGCATGGCTGCGAGCCGCACAATCGCAGCCTTAGCTTCCCGGCACAGCAATCCAAAACAAGTCCATGGCTCCTGTGGGAATTTCGAGATATGGCAATGGGAAATCAATGGAAATCACCTATTAATGAAGTCTTAATGTGAAAATCATCTTAATTCGGAGGGTAAGTTGTTTAGACTGAAGCATGTGCTCCGTATTTTCCATGTTTCCAAGGTCCTTGCATTCCGGGATGCGAGAATTCAGGCATCCTCCTGCAATGCTGCATCAACCAGCCCTTCATCCACACTCTGCTACTATGTGCTCGTGTCTTTGGCACGGGGCTCTGTGTGTGTGTGCCCACAGTGTGTGTGTGTGTGACAGGGTCAAGTTCCACGATCAAATTGCTGCACTCGAGATCCATTCCAGCAACGAACCATGCACAATTTGATCAACTGGCTGTATCCAAAAGTGGGGTTCCCCCACGCCCAAAGTTCATTTTCCACATCAAGCTGCAATAAAATTGGTGGTTCAACATGTTCTCAGCGGATGACAGCGGCCTCTGAGTCTGACTCGAAGTCAGTCTCATACTCGTCCAATGGGATTCCCTCCACCTTGCCACAACAGTCGAAGCTGCACCAGCAGAACCAGGACGAGACGGTCTTGTACGCCTCCCAGGTCCAACTCGATTCATTTCTTGAAATATCACTGGGTGCCTTAACCTTAGGGGGGTCGAACATATATAACTTACATCTTTGGTTTTTTGTTGGTAGGATCCCTGAGTGGAGGTGATAATGTGGTGGTTCTTTTCTACGGGGTCTTCCAATGCTTTTCGCTGCAGCTGACGAAACAACATGCACAGCAGTGACGCGAAAACCTCCCCGCACACCGCTTCACGCCTCTCAAATTGGTCAATTTTGGCAAGTAATATAAAAGTAAATTAAATATGATATGTGCAACGCATTGTTTCCCGAATAAATTATCATAAATTATCCATAAATGGTGGAATATGGTGCAATCATGTGGAATCCCTATATTATATGTTTCTTTGCACTGGAGAGTGCATCGGTCCATTTGGTGTTTCAGTGTTCATGTTGTATGAACTCCCTGTGTGAAACTCATGTGCGCAGCAATCCTGACGTTTTTTATTTACAGAGTGTCAGCACAACGTACATTTGAAACAGCGTTTGTTCAGTTTGCCTTTTTTCCGCACCTTTCCTAATAAATATTCTGCAAGAAGAACGTGTGCCAACATCGGCATCCATACGTCTAGAATCTTTATGAATCTTTTTTCGAAAGCCTGACAGCTTTTTAAGCCCAAATGCCGCACAAGCACAAAAACAGACCATCAATTACAGCACGGATTTTCGAGGCCTCCTTCCAAATGAGTTCTTTCACCTGACGCCACTGCTCTTCCTGGTGTCCGAACTCAAAAAACACTCTCAAAGCGAAGTACTTAGAGTACTTAGTACTTCCTCTTAAGACCTGATAATCCAACCTCAGCTGATCATAAGATCACTCAAGATCTTGATTCTCATCTCGAATCTGATGATCCAATATCCTCCAATCCAATTTCCAAAATCAACTGACCCAGTCAGACCCCCACAAAAACTATGAGCGACTTGTTCACCCCATCGCAGGTATGATGGCACATGAAACACATGTCATATGGGCCGTATATGCCCAAGCTGATGATTTTCACGATTTTCCAATGCCAAAGGACGTCACACGCCACTTATCTCCAACCTACCCATGGCGTCCTGTTGTCTCCTGAACTCCTCGCGTGATTTGCGGCGCTCTTCACGCTTGGCTTTGCGTTCAGCTCGTGCGGCCTGGGCTGGACATAAAGAACGGAGAGGCTGCTGAAGTTTCAACCCATCCATGAGCATCATCCATGCCTTTATTCCATTTTCAATGGGAGAAATCGCCCAAGGATTTGGGAACATGGGAAAAGGCTGCTCATGTTGGATTATCATCTCATTTTGAAGGGGGTAAGTACTTTAGACCACCAGCCAGTTTGGCGTCGCTTCTTGAAGACCTCACTGAAAATTAACCTTGGCACCAAGTCGAACTAGTCAGCCGCTGAACTGCTCATAACTGCCCATCCCATTCTGAGAATCGCCTTCTCGGCAGGAGTGCGCTTTGGCATGATTGCGAAATATGCAAAGCTCGAGCGAAGCACTGTGATATGAACCCTTGAGAGGTAACCAGGGCCGGCCGGCGATCATTTGAAGAAGCTATGAGGCTGTCTTGAGAAGTGGGTGACCCAAAAAAAAGAGCAACTTTAAACATGAAATCAAGCCATCAGTGTGAGCAGTTCCCCTGTTTGAAACATGTCTGAACCATGCCGGGGTCATCCTATGTGTTATCCCTCAATCAACTCTCTAAACAAGGGCAACAGAAGGCGAGAGAACGTAAGGAGGGAACCGTCTTCATGTTTCCAGGCACTGTTGCCAAAAAGGCCACAAAACTGGATGACGGAGGCCAAACATCGGTAATCATCTGTGTATCTGGTAAAAGGTATGGCGACCATATTTATATATATATATATATACTGTAGTTATTATGTATATAATATATATATATATATATGTATACATATATATAATATATATAATATATATATATATAGTAGTATATATATATATACATCATAATAACCAATTATCCCATATCAACAGGTAATCCCAACCCCCTACTGCCAAATACCAATACAACCCCAATATATGAATATACCCAATACATTCCAATACCAGTCCAGGATTTCATGACCCGGGAGCTGGACCTGGAAAACATCACTGGACGAAGATGCGTCACCTCGCGCCAGAGACATACTTCTGGGCCCTTAAGACCAAAAGGTGGTTTGGGTGCGCCACTTGCACGCAGTAGAGCAACCATAGTCATTTGGGGGCTCCAAGAATTTGTGCAACTAGTTGCTGGGGACGAATGGTGGCTTACGCAAACAAATTTAGAGTGCGAACACTTCCTTGCCGCATAGCCAAGATTTAATGCCTCCAACCAGTTCCGTGTATTCCGCGTGAAAAATGCATTACGATGAACACATCAAAACAATTGTTTGATTGCGGATGGACCTGCTGAACACTGGAAGCTCAGCAAATCGTGTAAGCAAAACATGAAGGCACACTGGAAGAATCATAAAGATTCACAATCCCTGAGTTGAAGCCATGTAAACGCAACATAAGAGTACATAAGTACCCCTGATGCACTCTCCCGCACCTATTTGAATTCACCAAATGCAACTTGCTACAACTAAAGTATCAGACTTTATGTTCAATCACTTTCAACTATAAAATACCCTTAAAAACATCTATGAGATTATCACTATCTATCAACATCCATGGCTTTTGGGCTCAAAATGAATGTCATGCTGTCCAGCCAGTGGCTCCACGCCTTGCAGGGGGCTGGATGCCTTGACCGAGACCGATTGGGGACCTACAAAGCTGATAACTGATAAGTGACCAGCTTTTAAAGGTCGAGGAGACAAACACCCATCAACCAAAATTAGCTACAAGACATCAGTGACTGTGCAAAAACACAACGCGTCAGAGGAAACTTATTTACCTTACATAGCCTCCAGTATGTGAATCAATCCAGTTGATGGAAGATAGTTGGTCCGCTTTTTCATGGTGCTTTAAACAAGGTGGCAACAGGATTTGCCATGATGCATACCCTTCAAACGCCGGTTCACGAGTTGCAGTTACGTTGTTTCTTTTTTTTGGAGGCTAAATTCAACCAAATAGGGCTGCAGCACACCAATTTTGGCCCACTCTCTCCAGTTGCAAAGCGCAGGATGTTGTAGCCATGGGCAAGGTGGTGGGCGAACAGCTCTGGACATTTCTGAGTTATGAAAGTCTAATTAATTACTCTTATGGTTAGCGCAGCATCTTCAAATTAATTAGTGATTACACTAATGTTTTCCAACTACCACGAGCAACTCAAAATGTCCAAAGGACACATGCCAACTTACAACTTACAACTTGGTCAATCGTCAGGGTCGAGCCTCAAGAAACACCAAATATTGAAAAACACGTCAGTGATCCTCATGCCCAATTGGATGAGAACGCCTATGAAACTGAAAATAGTATACGTATAATTTTTGCATCATATCTAAATATCTAAAATATGTGAAATTAATGCATACAGTATACATATTATATTATTTATAAATGCAGTACTTATGCAACATAAATATGCATAAATCACAATTAAGACGAACTGGTGCATCTGCAATCTGCGTTAAACTCACAGGCTTTCGACCTTGGGACGATCATGGACGATCTACGAGCCATGGCTCAGCGGCTGGACATCACAAAAACCTCCTTCTTCCGAGGGCACATGTGGCGGTACTGCCGAACCTCGGGCGTTGGATGATCCTCAAGGGAACTTCTGAAGTCACTAGCGTCACTCGCCGCTTTCTGGTGGTTGTTCAGGAGATAGCTAGCTACAGGTTGTTCATAGAGAATACAATTACAAATTGGATGATTTGGATGGAATATGATGGAATATATTCCGATGATATATCACTATCATTGTGTCTTGTGATGTCTTGTGCGCATGTTTTTGTAATGCAAAAACATCCCAACAGTCAACGAAGGCACCATCTCTAAGATGTCTTCGCCTACGTGATGATCGAAGTTGCCATTGCCGATAGGCACCTCGGATCACGGTCGACCTTTCCACGTGATCCTCTGCATCCAAGATAATATTCCACAACTGCGAGTATATGTATATAGATACACATAGACATATAAATACATATTATCTATATGCACTTGTATATATATATTATATGTATACATATTATATTATAAAAATTATATATATATAATAAATATTGTCTATAAATTATATATGTAACTATGTAATTAATATATATATATATATACACCTACTGAACCTTTTACCTACTTTTTCTAGATTTGAAAATAACAACATAAACATAACAAAAACGTGACTTTTTCTGAGTGGCAAACAAAAACTAATTTCTTTCATTGAAAAACATCTTGTTGTTTTCCAAACCCTACATTTTCAGATTTTATATCAGCTGAAGTAGGAAATGGTTCAGTAGGTATCCATCCAATCCAAGAAACCTGGAGTTTCGCAAAAAAAACACGTGGCTCAGGGCTAAACTAAAGGACGCTGGAAAAATGCTCCACCCCTGAAAACCGTTCTGTACCATTTTGAACTTATTTCAACTTGCATCCGATGGCACATCGTGGCACATCAAACCAGAAAAAGTCAGCCGCTGATCTGCATCGATTTGTCTGCCAATAGAAGTATCCCCAAATCCTATGGTCTATTGTCATCTAAACTGAAATTTCCGTATTGACTGTACAGTATCCCATCTTCCAACACAAGCATATATAATCAACTGCCATCAAGCATCATCAAACATAATTAATCAACTATCATCAAGTATCATGAAATGTCATGAAATATCATCAAATGATCATCAACTATCATATTTTTGATGAAGCTTTATACCATTAGATCATCTTAGATCCCCTGAAATTCCCACGAAAAACACAACGTCTCCGAGGTGCCAAGAACGGCGACGCCCCTTCCATCAGCAGCAGCTGCACGGTGTAGCGGTGCGCCGAGCGACAGGCCACGCTGAGAGCTGAGGATCCTTCAGCGCCGATGTGGTCCTGATTTCATGGTGATTTCATAGAGATTCTACCAGAAAAAACATTGGAATTGAATGGGATTGAATGGATTTGAGGTGTGAAAATTGGAGGTTTCCTATTTATAAAGAGATGGATGGGATAAAAAAGACACAAAAACAGAAAGTCTCAGAGAACAGAACACATAAAAATAACTAGACAAATAGGAAAGGTAAACGCAAACAATAATTTGAACTTGTTTTTGCAATATTTTGCAATGACAATTTGACTTGAGAGGGGGAACACGAAAGGTAGGTAAGCAAGAAAGGAACCGAAGAAAAAATGAAGGGGAGAGGGGAGGGAAAAATACATAAAGTGGAGTCTGGTAAAAGCGACGCGGCCATTTTCTTTCCAAAAATATGAAGGGGAGTCTGCTAAAAGCGACTGAAAGGCTTCGGCGATGTGGTTGGGGTTGGTGGTGGTTGTGGTGTTGCTGGTGTTGGTGGTGCTGGTGGTGTTGGTGTTGTTGGTGGTGGTAGTGTTTCTGGTGTTGTTAGTGTTGTTAGTGTTGTTGGTGTGGTTGGGTTTGTTGGTGGTGTTGGTGTTGTTGGTCGTGTTGTTGGTGTTGGTATTGTTTGTGTTCCTGTTGTTGTTGTTGTTGATCGTGTTGTTGGTGTTGGTATTGTTTGTGTTCCTGTTGTTGTTGTTGTTGTTGTTGTGTGTTGTGTGTTGTGTGTTGTGTGTTGTGTGTTGTGTGTTGTGTGTTGTGGGTTGTGGGTTGTGTGTTGTGTGTTGTGGGTTGTGTGTTGTGTGTTGTGTGTTGTTGGTTGTTGGTTGTTGGTTGTTGGTTGTTGTTGTTGTTGTTGTTGTTGTTGTTGTTGTTGTTGTTGTTGTTGTTGTTGTTGTTGTTGTTGTTGTTGTTGTTGTTGTTGTTGTTGTTGTTGTTGTTGTTGTTGTTGTTGTTGTTGTTGTTGTTGTTGTTGTTGTTGTGTGTTGTTGTGTGTTGTTGTGTGTTGTTGTGTGTTGTTGTGTGTTGTTGTGTGTTGTTGTGTGTTGTTGTGTTGTTGTGTGTTGTTGTGGTTGTGTGTTGTTGTGTGTTGTTGTGTGTTGTTGTGTGTTGTTGTGTGTTGTTGTGTGTTGTTGTGTGTTGTTGTGTGCTGTTGTGTGTTGTTGTGTGTTGTTGTGTGTTGTTGTGTGTTGTTGTGTGTTGTTGTGTGTTGTTGTGTGTTGTTGTGTGTTGTTGTGTGTTGTTGTGTGTGTTGTGGTGTGTTGTGGTGTGTTGTTGTGTGTTGTTGTGTGTTGTTGTGTGTGTTGTTGTGTGTTGTTGTGTGTTGTTGTTGCGTTGTGCGTTGTTGTGTGTTGTTGTGTGTTGTTGTGTGTTGTTGTGTGTTGTTGTGTGTTGTGTGTGTGTTGTTGTGTGTTGTTGTGTGTGTGTGTGTGTGTTGTTGTGTGTTGTGTGTTGTGTTGTTGTGTGTGTTGTTGTGTGTTGTTGTGTGTTGTTGTGTGTTGTTGTGTGTTGTTGTTGTGTGTGTTGTGTGTGTGTTGTGTGTGTGTGTGTGTGTGTGTTGTGTGTTGTGCGTTGTGCGTTGTGCATTGTGCGTTGTGTGTGCGTTGTGTGTTGGTGTTGTTGTTGTTGTTGTCGTCGTTGTTGTTGTTGCTGTTGCTGTTGGTGTTGTTGTTGTTGGTGTTGGTGTTACCCCTGCAGCGTTTTTGCTCGGTTCCGTAGTGGCCGAAAATCGTCAAATCGGTGGTGTTTTCGCGTGTTTTTGCAACTCTCGGAGCAAAAAACACCGTAAATACCGATGTTTTTGGCGGGTCGGAAGCCCAAAACCACAGTATTTACGATGTTTTTTGCCTCTGGTAGTAAAAAGCACGGTATTTACAGTGTTTTTTGGCCAGCACCTAGCAAAAACACTGGTATTTACGGAGGTTTCACCATGTAGCAAAATGTGGTTTCTTGATCCGAAAAGAACAAAAATACTGTAAATTACAATGTTTTGAGTCTGCTCTTAGGGTGCGTGGGAGGTGTGGAGGGGGGGGGGTTACTAAAATGACTAGCAATCTCCTGAAGAATCAGGTAACGGGGCTGGCCGCCCTCCCCTTTACTTCGTAAAGTAAAACTCAAGGTAGCCCCTCTGGAGCTACCTTTCGTGAACTGATCCATTTCCCACTGGTTTTTGGAGGGTAGGCCTTTCCCCAAATTAAAGGACCGGATAACCCCACATGTTACCAACTTCTTTAGACTTAGACTGAGCAGAGAAAGCGAGAAGGGAAGAGGAAGTATGAGAGTGATGGAGGGACGATGGTGGTATGTATGTAGGTATGTATGTAGGTAGGTGAGTTTGTGTGTGTGTGTGTGGGGAACAAACTGTTGGTGTGCCTGACATATTGAACACCATATTATGTTTAACACACATTCAAAACAACCTCAGGCCAGCACCTCGCAACCCAAGACCTTGGCTCCTAAGGCGCTTGCGTTATGCATTCTGGCGCTTGTGTTGTGTTTCTCTGCTGTTGACCGAACCAGGCTTTGGCTCCTTATCAAAACGATGGTGTGCCTCAGGCCAGCACCTCGCAACCCAAGACCTTGGCTCCTAAGGCGCTTGCGTTATGCATTCTGGGGCTTGTGTTGTGTTTCTCTGCTGTTGACCGAACCAGGCTTTGGCTCCTTATCAAAACGATGGTGTGCTCACCATACTTTCGCTGACCAAAGTAATGTTCTGCACTCTTTCGAGCGCAGCCGCACATTTTGTGAATTCTTTCTGCATGCCCTGTGGCTGGTAAACATCGCTGGCACATGATGATGATGATGATGATGATGATGATGATGATGATCATGATCATGATGATGATGATGATGATGTCTCCGACTGACTGCTGCGGAACAAACATCAGTTCACATCGGTTCGTCCAATTTCTTTAAAAAAAACTCATCGTCAAAAAACTCATCTTAAAAAGTACCAACATCGCCTGCCACGCAAAAGCGGCGGAGACCAAGGGACACCGGAGGGACGCCAGGGCGTACATCCGACCCCTTGGCAGTGCACATTGTCCCACGCCTGCCACGCAAAAGCGGCGGAGACCAAGGGACACCGGAGGGACGCCAGGGCGTACATCCGACCCCTTGGCAGTGCACATTGTCCCACGCCTGCCACGCAAAAGCGGCGGAGACCAAGGGACACCGGAGGGACGCCAGGGCGTACATCCGACCCCTTGGCAGTGCACATTGTCCCACGCCTGCCACGCAAAAGCGGCGGAGACCAAGGGACACCGGAGGGACGCCAGGGCGTACATCCGACCCCTTGGCAGTGCACATTGTCCCACGCCTGCCACGCAAAAGCGGCGGAGACCAAGCCAGGGCGTACATCCGACCCCTTGGCAGTGAGTGAGTGAGTGGAGTGAGTGAAGAGGTGAGTGTGAGATGAGATGAGTGAGATGAGAGAGATGAGATGAGATGGAGAAATGAATGAGATGAGATGAGAAGATGATGAGTGAGTGAGTGATGAGTGAGTGAGTGAGTGAGTGAGTGGTGAGGCGGGAGGCGAGCGGCGGGAGGAGGAAGGAAGAGGAGCGGATACAGAACTAGGGACACCGGAGGACACCGGAGGCCAGGGCGTACATCCGACCCCTTGGCAGTGCACATTGTCCCACGCATGCCATGCAAAAGCGGCGGAGACCAAGGGAACACCCGGAGGGACGCCAGGGCGTACATCCGACCCCTTGGCAGTGCACATTGTCCCACGCCTGCCACGCAAAAGACGCGGAGCCCGAGGGACGCCAGGGCGTACCTCCGACCCCTTGGCAGTGCACATTGTCCCACGCCTGCCACGCAAAAGAGGCGGAGACCAAGGGACACCGGAGGGACGCCAGGGCGTACATCCGACCCCTTGGCAGTGCACGTTGTCCCACGCCTGCCACGCAAAAGAGGCGGAGACCAAGGGACACCGGAGGGACGCCAGGGCGTACATCCGACCCCTTGGCAGTGCACATTGTCCCACGCCTGACACGCAAAAGCGGCGGAAACCAAGGGACACCGGAGGGACACCGGAGGGACGCCAGGGCGTACATCCGACCCCTTGGCAGTGCACATTGTCCCACGCCTGCCAAGCAAAAGCGGCGGAGACCAAGGGACACCGGAGGGACGCCGGAGGGACGCCAGGGCGTACATCCGACCCCTTGGCAGTGCACATTGTCCCACGCCTGCCACGCAAAAGCGGCGGAGACCAAGGGACACCGGAGGGACGCCAGGGCGTACATCCGACCCCTTGGCAGTGCACATTGTGCCACGCCTGCCACGCAAAAGCGGCGGAGACCAAGCCAGGGCGTACATCCGACCCCTTGGCAGTGAGTGAGTGAGTGAGTGAGTGAGTGAGTGGAGTGAGTGTGAGATGAGATGAGATGAGATGAGATGAGTGAGGAGGTGAGTGAGTGAGTGAGTGAGTGAGTGAGTGAGTGAGTGAGTGAGTGAGTGAGTGAGTGAGTGAGTGAGTGAGTGAGTGAGTGAGTGAGTGAGTGAGTGTGAGAGAGAGAGAGAGTGAGTGAGTGAGTGAGTGAAAGTGAGTGAGTGAGTGAGTGAGTGAGTGAGTGAGTGAGTGTGTGAGTGTGTGAGTGAGTGAGTGAGTGAGTGAGTGAGTGAGTGAGTGAGTGAGTGAGTGAGTGAGTGAGTGAGTGAGTGAGTGAGTGAGTGAGTGAGTGAGTGAGTGAGTGAGTGAGTGAGTGAGTGAGTGAGTGGAGTGAGTGAGTGGAGTGAGTGAGTGGAGTGAGTGAGTGAGTGAGTGGAGTGAGTGAGTGGAGTGAGTGAGTGGAGTGAGTGAGTGGAGTGAGTGAGTGGAGTGAGTGGAGTGAGTGAGTGGAGTGAGTGAGTGGAGTGAGTGAGTGAGTGAGTGAGTGAGTGAGTGAGTGAGTGAGTGAGTGAGTGAGTGAGTGAGTGAGTGAGTGAGTGTGAGAGAGAGAGAGAGTGAGTGAGTGAGTGGGTGAGTGAGTCAGTGAGTGAGTGTGAGAGAGAGAGAGAGTGAGTGAGTGAGTGAGTGGGTGAGTGAGTGAGTGAGTGAGTGAGTGAGTGAGTGAGTGAGTGAGTGAGTGAGTGAGTGAGTGAGTGAGTGAGTGAGTGAGTGAGTGAGTGAGTGAGTGAGTGAGTGAGTGAGTGAGTGAGTGAGTGAGTGTGAGATGAGATGAGATGAGATGAGATGAGGGAGTGAGTGAGTGAGTGAGTGAGTGAGTGAGTGAGTGAGTGAGTGAGTGAGTGAGTGAGTGTGAGATGAGATGAGATGAGTGAGGAGGTGAGTGAGTGAGTGAGTGAGATGAGATGAGATGAGATGAGATGAGATGAGATGAGATGAGATGAGATGAGGTGAGTGAGTGAGTGAGTGAGTGAGTGATGAGTGATGAGTGAGTGAGTGAGTGAGTGAGTGAGGCGGGAGGCGAGGCGGCGGGAGGAGGAGGAAGAGGAGCGGATACAGAACTAAAAACAAAAACCCCACACGTCAATGTGGGGAAAAATCATCACTTCTGCCCAGTTGCTGGATTCGCTCGAGCATGCAACAGCTCTCCTCAGAGTTGACAGTATGGTAAACCAACAGTTTGCGAACTGGAAAATCACAATGTTTAAGTTCGGTAAATCAACTTCAATGCTACTGAATTTACCAAACGAACATCTAAAAGGAGGATGGGGAAATAAGAAACAACATGTTTCTGAAAAAAAAATGGAGACAGGTCCATGTCTCTATGTAGTGTGCTTTGGCATGGCGGATGTCCTTCGTGGTGCATGGCAGTTGCGCTTGGAATTTCCAAGGGGGCACTGTAGTGCTAAAATAATATAAAATAACAACCCCCTTTTCTGGCACGGGCAATGTGTGATAGGTACATAGTTCCAAGCAAAATCCAACAGTCGAAAACTCCGACTTGGTCCTAGAAAAGAAAAAATGAGGAGCATGCTGATGTAAGAATGCTGGCGGATATATTCCCCTGATTGTTCATGGTATACATACGTAGCAGAAACTAACATGTTAGAAACAAGTCCATATAGTCCATCCCTATATCAATTTGATGGCAAATATAATCGTCTATCCCGTTTTTAGGACCCTTAAGTTGTGCTAATTATCTCCAATGTTTCTGGGGTCAAAGCTTATTTGGGTTTCTCTTAAAATAGGGTATGCCGAAATTCAGCAGGCTCGTCATCATTTTCCACCATAAAAATGCCAGCATTTGGCACCACATATCCCCCATCCCTAAACATAGCCATCTTTGTGCAGTGTGATCTTTCAAATCTCCTCCTGTAATTGAATATAGCTATGGACGAATTTAACATAGCTATGGAAACTCAGCATTTTTATCAATTTTTGGGTGTAAATCATCTATAAATGGGCCACTGTCCATGGCTATGCTAGATTACGGGAATCTTCCAACGCTTCCCCAGCCCGCCCTGGCTGTGCCAGGCATCTGCAGACTGAGACAGATCCCCTGTGCGCAGCCCAGATCAGTGGAGTCCAGCGATTCCTGACGCGCCCAGGCATCGTATGTGGTGAAGATCACCCGTTCATCTCACTGGGGATCTTCCAAAGGCATCTGGGTATATACTAATCAAGTAGTTTATAATTATAAGCCACTTACTAGGTATTTACTGGGTAGACGAGTGCTCATATTCCAGTCATATATATAATATATATATATAAATAAATATAATAATATATATAACTCTCTCGTATTACAGGGTTGTTCCCCACTTACTAATTAGGATGGCCTGGGGCAATGACGGCAATGATGTCTCAAATTCATTCAAATGACCCTAGCATGCACTTAATTTCATTAATGTCAAGAACATAAGAATGTCAAGAAGCATCGTTGATATCTACCTCAACATCTCAAAAACAGTATTGGGTATCAGAATGTATCAGAGTCGAAACACTAAACAGGCAAATCAATTCGCCCGCATTGCAACCCCCAAAAAATAGAAAAGTAAACCCCTATTGGACATAGGACAGTAGCAGAATTCAATAGAATTCACATATTCTGTCTTCTTGGGGTTATACCGATACCATATGAGCCACCGTCAAAACTCTGTCTCCGCCTTGCTTAAGAAAAAGGTACATTCCTTTCTTTGGGGGTATCCCTATGAAGGAAAGGAAGAGGAAAGTAAGAGAGGAAAAAAGGACAGGAAGAGCAAAGAAAGATGAGAGCCAAAGAAAGGAAAAGGAAGCAGCGCCTCTCAGAAGCGGAAAGGAAGTGGAAGGAAAGGAGGAAATCTCTGCAGACTCTGGGCCTACTTTTTGACCAGATGGGTATCGCTAAAGTATCGCTAGGGGCCCATCGGCCCATCGACCCATCGGCCCATCGTGCCGAGCTTCACGTCCAGCTCGTCAGGATTCGCCTTCCACTGAAAGATGTTCCGCAAGATCTTGGCACCTCCACTAAGGGACATGCCATGGGGTGCCATGGGGTGCCCGATATTTGCGATGCCTGTCAGCAGTGAGACCCCTGTGGTATGAAGCTTACCACCATATCCGTCCATATCCGTTCATTTGACCTCTTCACAGCTCTCCAGGTATCGTAATTGATCTTAGCTGACTTAGCCGCACCATATCAACTCTTTGTGGCTCCATGTGGCTCTTTGCGACTCTTTATCTCTTATCTTCACTCATGAGCCCTCAAAGGCTATGCATGCAGGGTTGGACACCCCTCTATTTCCTCATACCACCACCTCGGGTCCCCTCAGACAAGCCTTTATTCCGGAATTGGAGGGTCTATGAGAATTGGCTGGTCTCATTTCTTTTAAATCTGTTGAAGGAATGGGAAAATGAACCACCACAGACTGGGCATCTTGGCTAGGGAGCTCCCAAACCCCGTAATTTACAGTGTCTCAGGGGTCTGCCCCTGACATCTTAACTGCTCATAGCCACTTATTTGATTCCCACTCTTGAGCTGGTTCAAGCTGCATTGGTTGTGAGGACACCTCAGAGGGTCCAAGTGGCCCCTAGACCTTCCAGGGCTAAGGCTTTATGAGCAAAGGGGTCAGATCCACCAGGGTCTGACCAACCCCCTATGAGTATGACTCAAATGACAAAAAACTTTTGGACCACGTCATATACCATCCTGAGAACAAAGCGCATTTCAACAATAGTTTGGTTTAACGTGGCCTCCCAAAATATTCCCATGACACTGTGGCACACCCCAAGCCACAGCCTCGAAAGGCTCAATATTGGAGCTTCGGGATCTTCGGGACACTGGAAAAACAACTGTTGACTACTGGGGAATAGCTTAAGAATCTGTACTTTGAACATCTGAACATGACATATCTATACATATCTTATTTAAGTACAATATTTGCAAAAATTGGGAACTTCAACATGCTGTTTGCATGGTTTTTTTGAAGCGCTTTGGCCTCGAATCCCTGGGTCCTAGATGTTGGTTCCAGGAAACTTAGATGTTTTCCCCCCTTGCTGGCATTGGGTTTGCCGCATGCCGTAAACCTACTGGCAACCCCCTCTAACTTAGCGTCCCCTTTAGGTAGAATCTTGTAAATGAATTTTTGTTATGATTGGCTATGCCACATGACCAACAACAGTTGAAACATCCACAAGCTGTTCAAGCAACATCTTGCTTGGGTTACAACATCATTGACGATGCAAAAATCCATTCTGTGTGCCCCTTCTTTGCTGATAAGAAACATCAACTATATAAAATAATAATGTACATCCATTTCCGATATGCAGTCGAAACAAAAAAACGACAAACATGTTCACACACTCAAATTTTGGTAAATTCATGTACCCTCTGGTAATTTAACATAGCTATGGAAAATGGCCATAGAAATAGTGGATTTTCCCATCAAAAATGGTGATTTTCCATAGCTATTTTGACATAACCAGAGGGTAACTTCCTTTGCCAAAAATGGATGGTACATGATGGCACCTTCCGCCCTGCCTCGGTGCTCCCAGCCACATTGCTGCAGTGCCCATCGCACGGGCCGCATATTGGTGGCATGGACACCCGCAGCCACCAGGGAGCGGTGGGGCAAGACGTGGGGCGAGCCGACCCAGGTGGAAGAGATGGACCAAAGGAATAGGACTTCCTGGATCTGGGTGGATCTGGGGTTGAAGAATATGGTACCTCTATCCTAAATATCTCCAAATATCTCTAAATCCAGTGGTTACCTACATTGTCTGAAAACAGGCTACCCCATTACATCTACTGGTTATATCATTATCATCCCTAGTGGTATTACTGTAGATGCCCATCAAATTTAGGTTTTCCATGGTTTTCCCCTTTTGGCACCAGCTTCCCCAGGACGAACCCACGCAACGAACCCAGATTCCAAAGAACTGAGCTGCGACTCACCTGTCTCCGGAGGAAATGCCATGGGCCAAAGCACGCCCTGCCTGGACGTGGCAAACGATGGCCACGGGCAGGGGGAGTTGCAACATGTTTCAACCAGTCTAAAAATCAAAAAAACATCAAAACACACGCTTTAAACCCAACGAAACCATCAGAAACTGAGTTGATGAACATGTTTTGGATCCCGGAGAGTCATTGCTGGACAGCATGCAAGTCTCACAGCCCAAGCCCGTGCCTGATGTTCAGTCGCACCTACAGGCAGGCCCAAAATGGGCAAAATGTAGCAGGGTGGGGACAATGGGAAAAAGGCATTAGATAACCACAAATAAAACGACGACATGGATATTATCCACATATATAATATAATATATAGACACATTTAACGTTTGATCATGTTCTTTTGTTCCAACAGTTGGAATAATTTGTATAATGTAATTAGCCGAGTAAGTGATTATCATATATTATGAGTATTGTTGTTTGTATGTTCATGTTTGCTTTATTAGTCTTATTATTATTATTATTATTAGTCTTACTATTATTATCATTATTCCACATTATTGGAATTGTCTACTATTCCCAAGGTGGCTAACTGCGATATTATATGATATATACATATATATATATACTCCGTTTTCAGACACATCCAGACCCTAAGTGTAGTCTAACCTTCTCAGAATATTACCTTAGCTGCCTGTGAAACTTAAAGAACTTGGACCCTGACCATGATCTGATGCCTCTATGTATAAATACTCATTAGTACACACACATATATATATTATAATTACTATTCCTATTATTATATCATTATTACTATTATTATTAATTATTAATTATTAATAATAATAACAATTATTATTAATATTATTATTTTTAATATGATTATTATTATTATTGTGATGATGATGATGATGATTATTATTATATGTATTTACACATAGTCATGTACTATGTACAGTAGATAGAAATTGTCCAGAATATATAAGTTCCATCATTTTCGGCCATCAGCAGTTTTATATGATTTGTTCTGGTCCTTTCTTTTTTTTTGATCCACTCATCTGGGCCCTGTAACATCCTGCAACTGAATCCTTTGTCCACCAGGGACTACCTCGTGGAAGGTGCTTTGCATCCATTTGGAAGCTGCAGGGAGGGCAAAAAAAGCATCCTTCACGGACAAGTGTCCCACTATCTCCTTGGATGCCGCTCATCTCGGGTAATTACCAACAAGGCTGGTACGCAATGCTGACATCAATGCAGCACCAAACATAGCGAACACACCATGGCCATGGAGATTCATAGGCCCCAGTGAAGTCCCCATCTCGTCTTCCTACTATACAAATTGGATTTGATGCTCCATATAGATCATATAGTTTCTTCGGATCTCTTCTCTAATAATTTCATGCTGCAGTGGAACGTTCCTCATCGATGTCGCATTTGATTCAGGGACAGTGGCCCACATTGAGTCCATCCAAATTTTTGCCAAGGCTCAACCATCATCTGCTGGATCTGCTGCATGCCGTGAGCATCAGTTTCCCGTAGCTGAAGCAGGTCGTCTGTCGACTCCTCCGTCTCCTTGAAACCATCCACCTTCGGACGCCACTCCCCAGATCCTCCCAAAGGTTCCTGTTGTGTGGCACTATAACAACATATAACAACGACCAAAAACCTCTTGGCCTAGCCAAAATCAGGGTAATCCTTCTCAAATTTCAATATTTTGAGCCCTGCAAATCATGGCATGCCAGGCTGGCAGTGTGAAGCCTCGGGGTCTCAGGACAGGTGGTCTCCCAAAATCCAACAAAAATGTTTTTTCAAAAATTGGCTTCCCAAATTCATACAATTTTTTCCGCAATCAGTGTATTCATACCATGCATACCATCCATACCATCTATCCGATCTACCACGCCGAACCCTATGCCTCGGTGGTGCGGTCGCGTCTTTGCTTCAAGCGCAGCCGACTTACAAGGTAGGCCGCAGCTAAGCTACCTGCCACAGGGACCATCAACATCCTGTCACCGGGGGTTGGTTTGAAGGATTTTGTTGAAGGAACACTTCATAAGAATTCCCTCCAACCAAATATACCAAATCTAGGAGGCAACCAAAGTGTGTAATTGGGACTGACTTGTTCATTGATGGAACACTTTCTTCGCACGGATAAGGTAATGTAAGCATGAAAAGATGATGACGAGAAACACCAAAAGCAACATGAAAGTCTGGAATCTGTCAATATCGTTTCGACACACTCTCATACTGTGCAATTTGCGCAGCCAAAGCAATAATTGGACTCTCCGTGCAGTCAGGTGCTCCCCAAGTGCAGCTCAGGTGCAAGTTAAGGCTGGCACAAGCGTAGAGCTCTGCAACCGGAAATGCTGCATCCTGGTCACCTCGCGATCCTCACGTGGCCTGCTATTCCTCGCGTCCTGCGAGAACTTCTCACGCTGTGTCGACGTGGCCGGAAAGCATGGCACGTGACAGCTCAGGCCACACAGTGAAAATGGGAAAGTTGAGCCACAACGCTTTGTAGGCTGAACCACTGAAGATAAGTACGCAAAAAACATGACAAAAAAGGATGCATAAAGGAGGTATGCCAAATATGAACGCAATAAGTGCTTGGTAAAACATCTTTTCCCATTGAATCATTGAGATATTTTATCCTTAACAAAAAAAACAAAGCTTTGGGACCACATTCAGGCTGGACAGCTGGACTGTGTGATATTATACATATATACTTTTATTTATTGATATAATATTATTTACTTTTTTTTTATGTAAGTGACCCTCCATATTGATCCTAAACGGCTGCACATTTCGCCGACTCTCGCTTGCCTTGGTGACTGCCAACCTCTTGGTTCAAAACAACATTTGCTCACCGGCCCTTTTTGCCAAACACTTGGGCCCTCCAAGCCATGCAAGCCTTTGCCCCTTCAAAATCTTCAAAACAATAAGACAAACAATGACAAATGATGTATCCAAACTAGATCTTGGCATAGGCCGGGAGAATGGTATGTATCCATCATCTTGCCCTCTGGTTCTTTTACCAAGTAACGCGGCTCTCGCGCATCTCTGCAACCAAGCGCCTTGCCACCACTTTTTGCGAAGGGCTGGGGTTCACTATGGTTCACCCCACCCGCTACGATCGCTACCTGCAAAGTGGAACTGAAAACAGTTGGGCCTTTCTAGTACAATCATCTGGTGGATCGTGTTTTCAGGGTCCCTGTGAAAATGTGCGGCATTTTTTTGGGGTATTGGATGGTCTTGGTCTCTTTTGTCGGGTATTTTGATATCTTCTAAGCGCGTCGTATATATCACCATGGCGACCATGGAGAATCTGCTGGCTTAAATCTCATCCCAACGCCGGGCCGGGCATCGTGATCCCATGAAATTTGGGTGGAAAGATCATGTGCAACTGAATAACTGGTTGGTGGTGTACCTACCCCGCTGAAGAATATGAAAGTCAGTTGGAATTATTATTCCCAACATATGGAAAGTCATAAAAAATCTTCCAAACAACAACCAGATAAGAATGACAACATCCTAATGCAATCTAATACAGTATACCCCAATCGGAAGATCTTCCATTATGCATGTTGTATCATTTTGCTGAGCCAATATTTCCTGAGGCTTCACGAAATTCTCACCCCTGCAATCCGGCCAACAAACGAGCAAGGCAAACAAGTTCATTCAGGGGGAGTCTGTGAACGGAGGAATAAAATCAATGAACTCATATATGATCATATATGGAAGTTTCCTAACATATCTAAAATGGGGGGTAATTACCCCAAATCATCCACTCGTGATGAATGACCATGACCTAGTATTGCAACCCATGGTGACTTGGGGATCCCCCATGACTTAAGAAACCACGCATAAAATGCTTGTGGCACCGCCCCACACGCTGGGATCCGCGCTGCAGATCTGGTTCCTGTGTTGGGCAACAATGGGGCTTCGAACAGATTCTACCCTCCAGTCATTTACAATGACATAGCTATGGAAAATGTCCGGCTTATATCCATTCATAGCGGATTTACCTATGTGTTAAATTCATCAGCGAACAATATCGAAACAATGGCATAGAAGTGCCATATAAATCCATAAGATATCATAAGATAGTTGACGAAGATTGTGATAAGAGGTGCCAAACATTGATAATATACGATCTCAATTTTAGTGGAATCTGAACAACTGGGCTTCAAAATCGATTTGGATATGGCCCACCTAGGGGCAGGGGTGTATGCCAAATTGTCCGCATGCATGACACAATAAGCAGGCCTGCAGGGCCTACAGTTCCTGAAAACGGTTGCCTATGGCTTTCCGCTTTGCCGTGATGACATATAACTTGAGATGACACACACACACATTCACACACAATCATAGTAATTAAATGAATTTAAATGATACATGTCGGAACACGATTTCGGAAGTAGTCAATTAAAACCAACTCGTAAAATGCACCTCAATATCACTTCAATGAACGCTTCTCCAGTACCTTTTCTTTGCTAGGTTATACTGCCTATCAGGCCGCAATCTTCCATACATCCGTTCTCATCTGTATACCAGCTGACTGCCACTGTCCCACTGTCCGCTTGGAGTTTTGAAAACGGGCTATTTGGCCAAGCGCTTGGATTCAGGGTCTGTGGGATCAGCCCCATTCGCTGGATCCTCCAGAGATGATGAAATGGCTGCATCGTTTGCCCCCTGACTGGTGCAGATTCTCGGGGGCGCTCCAAAGTGGCAAACTCATAGACCCCAGGTTGACCAAACAAGGTTTCCCTATCGAAGTGCAGAACTTTTGCATGGTATATATATATATACATATATACCTCTGTGTGTGTATGTTTGTTGTTGTTTGTGGTGCAACCCCTGCCAATTCAAAGGAACATAGATCCATATTATAGATCGCAATCATCCAAAATCAAGAACTTTGGGAGAATTTGTTTGGTCTCCAACGGGTTCGATCGATTTTAGGACCGCAAGTGCAAAGAGGTCAACACCAATCGCGCAACCTCAAGCGTTGGAATCTCTTCCGTCTCCATCTCTATAGCTGGCCCGAGACTGCTTAGCCTGACGGCGTCCCCACGTGGGTGCGCTTGACAGGTCTTACCATGTTTTACCCCCCGAATGACAATGTTAATCTGTTACTTCGGGAAGTGGATTGCTGTTTCTTAATTGGTGCGCGTGTAGATTTAAATAACAAACTCAGCAAGAATCTCTTCCATCCCACCTCCACCCTCAATGCCCTGGTTCCATGATTTCCCCCATGCCCTCCAAAATTAACAGATCGCAACTTTGAACAAATCGCAACTTACGAACTGTTGATTTTGGAGGGCATGTGGAGGGAGAAGGTTCTTGGGGCATATTGTTTGGGAGATGTGAACAAACCCGCTTTGACTGATTACAGGGGGTGCCCTGATACATGATCACATGCAAAGAACATGGAACCTTATTCTACAACCAAGGGGGTTGTGAATCCGGCGGTCGTTGGCAGAAATGAGTACAGTCCAAGCACTGTATATACAAGAATTCCTTGTATAATAAAATGAGGGGCTGGATTTTTTGCCGCATATACGTTTTGTGGAATAAAACAATAAATAAATATATATATGCAAACGGAAGATAAGAAATTGAGGGAACCTGGAATTTGAAAGGCTAAGAAATTTAGATGTATGTGAAGGAGCCCCTTTGCGCCCCTGCTCAATTTTCTTAACCATGAAAGGGCTTATAAAGATTTTGTTTGGAGCGGGAAATGGAGCCAGCCTCCCTTGCAACCAAATACCCGCCTGTGCTGCCTTGTTGCCACCGGGTAAAGGTTCAATTCAATACATAACCAAGAAATCCAGCCCCTCAATTTCTTAATCATGTAAGGGTTTGTAAGAGCTTTCTGTAGAGGAGACTGGGTAACTGTTCCTTTGTGCCCAGGAGCCACTGAGAAGCGGCGCAAGGATGGCGGAGTCAAACTCACGAAAGGAGCTGCGCAGAGGCAACCCCGTTCTTACATCTTCAAATCTGACTGTTATATAAAAATGTTGGTTGCTGATGGCCAGGGTCCCTCAAGTTCTTATCGGAAAGGCCCCATGTATGTCAGTATATATGTACAGTTATTCGATCAAGGGTCCCTTAATTTCTTCGCAATTTCTTAATGTAGTATTTCACAAGCAGGGCAGAACATGTCTGGTCACGGTGTTTGAAGTCCCACTCTTTGACGACCCGAACTTCCACAAATGATTTCGATATATTTTGCCATGACCTGAACAGCAAGGATATCAGGCATACCGCACAAATGAGGCCCCAAGAATTTCACAAAGTGCGACTAGCCACACTATAAATCCCACTTGTCGGCCTGTAAACCCATCCGCCAATCAAGGTGTTGTTTTTGCTTTTTGGATCTTTTTGGACCTTTTTGGTGCTGTACCCTAGCCACAGCACCGCCTGTGGATCTCCAGATACTCCTCTCGAAGCCGTCGTCCCAAATATCGGTCCAGAGGACCATGCGGGTCACGCTGTCCCCAAGGCATACCACCTGCTCCGAGTGCCGCTTGATGCGTCAGCTGGGTGACTTCCAACGTCCTTGGTGTGCAGTGATGGGAGAAGTACTTGGATCATGACATCACTATCACTGGAACTTGAGACAAAGGATTGAAACAGCAAAACGAATCAAAACCACCGATACCCACCTGTCCATGGCATCAACTTTGGGTGTGCCATCTGGCATGTTTGTTCCTTGCATATTCAGGAGTTGCCAACAAACAGAAATATTGGGGCGAAGGAATGCTGAGCAGTGCTTTGGCAAGGAATTTCAATACAGCCTCAAATCCTCAAAAGTGAAAGTGCCTGCCATCCCAAAAAGGCAGGAACATCATTTTCCAAACCCATCATTAGGAGTTTCTGGGCCGAATGTCTATGAGTCCAATTGCTATCACCCGAAGCATCATGAAGCATCATGAAGCATCATGACACATCACCAAGCATCATCACACATCATCAAACATCATCAAACATCAGCAAGCACCATCAGGCATCATCAAGCATCATATCAGCAAGCACCATCAGGCATCATCAAGCATCAGCAAACATCATCAATCATCAACAAACATCAACAAATATCATCGGGCATCATCAAACATCATCAAACATCATCAAACATCAGCAAACATGATCAAACATCATCAACCACAATCAAACATCATCAAACATCATCAAACATCAAGCACCATCATACATCAGCAAGCATCGTCAGTCATCAGCAAATATCAGCAAACATCAAACATCATCAAACATCAGCAAACATCGGGCATCAGCAAACATCAAACATCATCAAACATCATCATGCATCCTATTAATTACGCGTCAAACGCAGAGAGAATACCCTGGATAAACTGCTCCCTAGTTCCGTCTAGCATCTGCTGCCATCTGCTGGCATGAAGCAGTTGCCAAGCGGCCTGCCTCGGCCCAGCAGTGGTAAACTCATGATCTTCCCGGTGTTTCCTGAATGCTTGGCCCGTAGATAAAACTACTTTACCAAGAGCCCAAGCAGCACCAACCAATCAGGGTTTCTAGTTGAATGTTCAATCTTTGCATGGGTATATCAGCGACTCAAACATACTGAAGCTGGGATTCACATGGAATTATATACATGGATTATCTGGATTTACTGGGTATATGACGGTATATTACCATCATGATGACCGCTTTGCTCACAAAGCTGCCACTTGAGCGCAGCTGCACAGGCCCGAACCGTCGCTTGCGACACAGCCGGTGTCGAAGCATCGCCCATGACCTGGTTTCATCCATTTTCACCATGTGGAGGTTTCCTGAGTCATGGGGTTACCCCATTGATCATCCCATTATAGATGGATTTTATTGGATTTTCCATTTGTTCAACCAGCCGGCTATTCCCCCCATGACTTAGGAAACTCATCCGGCTATATCCGGCTATATCCGGCTCCCCCCATGGTCCCACCTCAGCATGTGGCCACCATGGTCCCACCTCCAGGAGGCTCAGGGCCATGCACCAGGCGGCCTGTTTCCCACAGGCCACCGCCAAGGCGCTCCAGCTAAAGCCACCAGCCGCCAGCTGTAGGAGGCTGCGCCACGGGAGGCTCACCTGATCTGAAAATTATGGATACCCTCTGGTTATGTCAAAATAGCTATTGAAAATGACCATTTATAGTGGATTTTCCCATTAAAAATGGTGATTTTCAATAGCTATGTTAAATTACCAGAGGGTATGGATCATGATGGATCATGATGGATCATGATGGATCATGATGGATCATAACGTATCAGAATTATCATAACAACAGTTAACAACAGATTTTCTTACAAGATGTTAACAAGATGTCACAGGTACTTTTACATTGAACATTTGGAGATGGGGTTTTATTTGAAAATAGAGATTTTTCCATGGGTAACCCTATTGCATCATGTTTCCATTGAATCATTTTCATCATAACCATGGGTAACCCCAATGGGATAATCCCATTGAATCCCCGAACCTCACAGGCGCTCAGGACACTGCTGTAAGTGACCTACCAGCTGGCGTGGCAAGCTTCGATACCGGATTATCTTCACTAGTGCCCACCGAGATTATACTGAGTTACTGGGATAATGTGTATATATGTATGTATGTATGTATATGTATGTATGTATGTATGTATATGTATGTATGTATGTATGTATGTCTGTATGTGTGTATGTATGTATGTATGTATGTATGTATGTATGTATGTATGTATGTATGTATGTATGTATGTATGTATGTATGTATGTATGTATGTATGTATGTATGTATGTATGTATGTATGTATGTATGTATGTATGTATGTATGTATGTATGTATGTATGTATGTATGTATGTATGTATGTATGTCATGTATGTATGTATGTATGTATGTATGTATGTATGTATGTATGTATGTATGTATGTATGTATGTATGTATGTATGTATGTATGTATGTATTAGTATGTATTAGTATGTATTAGTATGTATTAGTATGTATGTATGTATGTATATGTATGTATGTATGTATGTATGTATGCATGTATGTATGTATGTATGTATGTATGTATGTATTAGTATGTATTAGTATGTATTAGTATGTATTAGTATGTATGTATGTATGTATGTATGTATGTATATGTATGTATGTATATGTATGTATGTATATGTATGTATGTATGTATATGTATGTATGTATATGTATGTATGTATATGTATGTATATGTATGTATGTATATGTATGTATGTATCTGTATGTATGTATATGTATGTATGTATGTATGTATGCATGTATGTATGTATGTATGTGTGTGATTATTTTATAATATATATAAATAGTTAATTAGTTATATATATATTATGTTATATTAATGTTATATAATATATATATGGCATTACAGTACATGTCTACTTCATGCTCAGATTTTCCACCTGTCTTGATGAATCCCTTCTATGTTGAGATTTTGCGTGGGTTTCCATCACCTGCCATACATCATGCATCGCTGGATGGCTCTCCCACTTGCACACTTCGTGATCTGTCAGCCCTGGTAGGAAAGCTTCTTTGATCCCTAAGCGCCTGGAGCCAAAATGATTCTCCATATTTTGCAATGCATGATGTCAATGATGTCTAACTCTGATGGTGATGAAAATCACACCCAAATGAACTCAGTAACTCCTCACACCATACCTATTATACCTCCCATTACCTCCCGATATTCAACAACGCCCTGCCTCAGATGCACGGCAATGTGACCTATTCAGTTCCCAGAAGAGCTGCAAAGCCTTCTGCCACTGATGCCCTCGCTTGAGCCGGCCCGGCTCGGGCAGTATGCCATGGTTCAACTTACGGATTCCCGTGGATTCCCGTGGGTTCCCTGCAACTTGGAGCAGTTCTAGGTTCCTCCAGTAAAGAGACCTGAGGAAACAAATATTGCAATCGAAAATTCATGAAACTTCCCAGTGTCGTCGCCCACTATGAATATCTATGAATGGAATTTGCTCATCTGCCAAAGGGCCAATTCATGAACACAGCTTGGGATGTTGGGACCTTTGGAAGGGAAGATCTCATTTTGGCAACTGCTCGGGCCCGGCCATTGATGATGGACCAAGATTCATAGACTTGCAAAGATAACAAAGGTACAGTATAACAAAGATATGTTTGAACTCATAGTTGTGCACGGTATACAGCAATGGTTTGCTTTCCGTGCCCTTACCACTCTGAGTGAATTTGATTTCTATAATTTGGGCTACTAGGAATGTCAAACATCACTTGGCGCCAAACTTCGACACTCAACAACCAGTAAGATTACAGGCAAACTAGTAACACCAGGAGAGAAAAATCTTGGGAAGTATAAGTATACTAGCATTTTTCCTTCTTGTTTCTCCTTCACCAAGCTCCACAAATCAAAGCAAGTCCCCACTCTTTACAGCAAGGGTCCCTTGTCACAAGCGGCGATGGCAGCGTTGAAACTGATGGTGGACAACTTGAGATCAGCCTCCACCGCATCCTTGGGAGCATCGTTACAAAAGAACATACAGCAACATGCAAAAACATAGATGTTCTATCATGTTCTGACTTCTTTTACACAAGAATGAACCTGGAAATACCTGGAATATGAAGAATCAAAACTGTCAATCTCGGAGTGATGTGAGAAATGAAGCACTGAGATGAAGGTATGATAGCAACAGGTTTCTCGAAACAAAAAAAAGGTTTCAACACGGCAAAGTCACAGCTGGCAAGTCTCCGACAAAAGCTGCAGGGCAAAGGGCCACGCTGCCCCACTGCAGGCTGTGATACACGAGTTGTAAGAGAGGATATCCTGATCCACATCAGAACTCTGGAACCTCTATTTCTGGAAGGAAGCAACTCCCATTGTTGGTCAAGGCCCCTAGTAGGGCCTCCTTCAATTGGAATGTAGGACTACTTTGAAGTGTTTATATAGAAGCTCTGCAAATCAAATGCCCTGCCAAAAAAAAAACGAGATCTTGTCCCAAAACTTACCTCGCCATGACCGAAATGCGAGGATCCTCCAAGCCAGGCACCGAAAGGCACCAAATCCTGCCATCCAAAAAAAATCTGTTGAACAAATCACCAAGATTACCGTGGCATCTTTTTCTTGACGCTAACATCCCCAGCCCCCCTCACAGAACCCCAGGCTCTGGCTGCGGTATCTGCAGCAACATCTGCAAGCACTGGCGCCAGCGACGAGCACGAGCCAAGGCGCTCAGGCTGGTGTTGAAACTTACGATGTCAGGTGGGAATGGGCACGACTGCAACAAGTGCAGGCACCAACGCCTGCGAATTCGAATTCGAATGGCTGGATGAGGTTGAAGACCTGCTTTACCCCTCAAAAAAGGCTGTATGAATGATCCACTAATGATCCGCTAATTGTCACGCATTGTCACTCATTCTGTTTCCATAGCATATTTACAGTACAACATTAACACAAAAACTGACTGGTGGTTTCAAGCCTCTTGAAAAAGCTTTGAAAGAGTAGTCGTTGTGGACCAGTGGATCATCCCCAATAGTTTCGGGGTTCTACTTGGCAAGCCACCACGCTTGATCTGCGGCCCTTTCGCAGGCAGCCATGGCAGCATTCCAAACCACCAAATCCATGGTTTCTAGGGCTTGCTCCCCGGTTCCTGCCATGGCATTTCCCGAAAGTCATACGACTCATACCCACCATGGTAGTGCTAATCCACAGTTCAGGCGTGTGGCAAAAAAAACAAACACAAACATTGAACATCTCCGTGAATTACTAAATTGTGTTCTATGATTTTCCTGGTGGAAACGCATTGCACACCAGGTCTGCCATCATACTTACATAGGTTTATCTCAACATGTATATATGGAACGCCCAAATCTCATGAATCATCATCAAATCATGCGTGCTGTTGGCTATGTACGAAGGTGGCCAAGTGGATGTGCGCATAGAATCCACCTAGTACTGCTAAATTTCTTATCCCAAAAAGATCTAGCATCTCTCGCTCCGGTAAACGTTCACTTATTGTGTCAATAGATACGAGTATGGAACATCCATCAAAATCCGCCATGAAATCATTTCCATTCATTTCCTAAAAACAACCATGGATTCTATGGATTTCCATTCATTTCCATCGTTTTTCCCTAGGTTTTTTCCGATGTTCACGGGACTTCCAATTCCCATCCGCTCGCCCGGTCCCCGGTCACCTGCCAGGTGCAGCAGCTCTAAGGCATCGATCCATCGCATCCCACGGCGACAGGCCTTGAGGGTGATACCTGCCGATGATTTGAGAGGAATTTTTATGGATTTGGCAATGGCAAAAACCAAGAAACATCCAGAAAAATATTTAGGATAATATGGATATATATAAAGGATCTCTGACCAAATTGCCATCGACTGCCGGCAGTGGCGTTTCGAAACGGCCTACCTCATTCGGTAGAGCCAGCAGAACATGCAAGTCAACTTCTTTATAAATCTAATCAGATCAATGTCAATTCTGATCAGGAACTAATTCAAAAGACACATCTATATATATATTATATAATCGGATCAATGACAGATCTGATCAGGAACGAGTTCAAAATCAAACTAAGAAAAACGGATGGCAAACAATGGATGGCATTGCGTATCGTTGTGGCAAGAAACATGCATGTTCACCCACACAGATTGTCAAGGTGTATGGCGAGAGTTGAAGAGATGATTGGTTGATGGTTTTTGGACGATTTTGGTCAAATAAATGCTACTAAATGCTGCAGCCTAGGCTGCACATAACCATGGCTTTGACCTGTGAAATAGCCTCCTCTATCCATTGCAGGTTGCTTTTTTTGGTTGCATACTTTCCTGTTCAAAATGAGATTCACAAGTTTAAGCTACAAAATCTTGGACATGGATTTTACGTCACTGTTAGCCTCACTAAAACGGAGGGCTGAGGCACAAGGCCTCCCATCTTGTAGCTTAAACTCAAAGGGGGATGTATAGTGATAAAGATTCATCCATTCACATCCATTACCCTCTGGTTATGTCAAAATAGCTATTGAAAATGACCATAGAAATAGTGGAGTTTTCCCATGAAAAATGGTGGATCTTTCCATAGCTATTTTGACATAACCAGAGGGTCACCAAAGCATCAGAAACAGAAAGTCCTCCGAGATGCTCAGGGTAAACTTGTCCATGACTGGCCTCCCGGATCTTTAGCACAGGGACAGGGGGCGGAAAAAAACGTCCCATTTAAACATCACCAGGGGTCAAGTAGCTCGCGTATCCCAAGCAGATCCCCACGGCACCTGATTGATATGCATATTTCATTAATTTTCATCATATGTCCCAAGGCATTTCCTTAGTTTTATACAAACTTTGGCACCTTTGTGAGGACCAAGCAGCTCCACTCAATTGTCAATAGAAAGAACGGACATGTTTTGAAATGAAAACTACATCAACAACGACAAAGGAGCATTTCTTTGAAGAACGCCTCTTGCACTCCAATCCCATTGAAGTTAATTTCCGGGCCTTTGTTTGGCAAAGAAGTGCAAAACGCGCTGCCATTCGGCACTTCTCTCGCAAGCACTCAAGGTTGAGTTGATGGTTATCACGTCCTTGTGCGCTTGTTCGACCCGTGGGAAACCCACCAAGAGAAATAGAAGGAATGGAGTCTGTCCGAAAACACGGTATACCGTATAATTCGTATAATTACTGGCATACCCGAAATGCCAAGATTTAATATGAACAATGATTGACCAAGGGATTACGGGTATGCTATTGTCAAACAAACCTGTATGACCAAAGATCTTCTGAGTCAACATCACAAATCCCAAAGACGGTTGAAAACAGGAACATTTGAGACCACCAACAAGATGGAACATTCAGCAGCCACATACCATCCGGTAAACATACAAAAAGCTATTGAAAATGGCCATTTATATCCATTTATAGTTGATTTTCCCCTTAAAAATGGTGATTTTCCATAGCTATGTTAAATTACCAGAGGGATCCAGAGGGTACCAACTGAATGCAAGTCTCAGGGCTGATTTCTTCTTCTTGCATGCGCTGCAGAAGTGAAATGCCTCATGGGCTCTCGCTTGTCAAGGCATCCATGGCATCCATGTCAAACCTGCTGTTCACCCCACAGCTGGTATGGCTGTATCTTCATCTCCCCAAACCCTAAACATGGTATAATTTACCCAATATCTATACGTACATACATACATACATAACATAGCATAACATAACATTACATTACATTACATACCATACATTACATTACATTACATTGCATTATATTACATTACATTACATTACATCACATTACATTACATTACATACATACAACTATATATATATACTGTATATATACATATATAATTATATATATACAATTGGTATCCATCATTATATCCACATTCTTCAAGGTCGAATTATAGTAATGTAATTCATAGCTTTTGATCCGTCCCCAAGTGCCAAAAACGTCTGCCTCGTGTCGACAAAACACATCGTCAATCTTAGACCTGTAAAAACTATCTTAGTTGTAGCTGGTTTATATAACCATCACAATCATATCTCATTTATAGCAAAATATTCCGGGTGAAAGTGCTGTCCAAGATTGACCCTAGTCATCATGAAACCAAGAGGCTCTGCTGCCACTGGCCCTTTTTGATGTACTTCCTGAGGAGCCTGTTGCAGGCGAACAAATCCTTCATTCCTCCGTCTGCGGCACCCAGTGTCCATCAAAGCTACAGTGACGTCGCAGCCAGGTCCGTGCGAAGCGATGAACGCTTCATTTAGGCTGGAAAATGTTGCGGTATGTTGCGGTTGTACAACTTATTGCCTATGCGGTTTACAAAACCAAGTGTTTATGCAAAGGCATGTGCCATGTGCATTTTCTACATATGAAATCTACCGTATCCAAATGTTACTGTCATTTACTGTCTATATTTCTCATGTAACCGCTCCGGTTGTCCAATGTAGGAGGGCCTCCGCAGCCTCAAAATGGAAATGCTTTCTTTTGTGGCCCACTGTCCCACCATTGGAAGGCCTGAAGTGAATATCCTCAATGTGAAAACCACTTATCATGCGATCGTGAATGATCTCGAGGTTAATTCCTCCTATCTACAGTACTCGTTTGACCCGGGGCCCGCTGTACTGGTCAGTGTAGGGGTGCAGCATCAGTTTCTCCCATGGCACCTCGTCTAAAGCCTGGCGGGAAGGAATTGTGTCAGAGACTCGATAGCATTTTCAAAAGGCGCTCCGGACATCTGCTCTGTCATTTTGCATTTTCAAATGATGTCCTTTTTGAAACAAGAGTCGGGTCTGGTCTGTTCAGGCATGTTCAGTCGAATGCACCTACAGCGTGTTCAATAGGGAGATACCCCGCACAAAATCTGTGAGAAAGTACAAGACTTGTTCCCAAAGAAACGTGCAAAATGGTGAAGTCGAACTAACTAGTAAAACTAGCCTTTCCAATCCTTTGAAAGCCCCATGGATTTCATGGCTCAAGTGCAACATGCAGCAAACTCGGACTGAAGCATCGCAACGTCCCTGGAAGCCTCATCAGTCACCACCTGCTTGGCAGTACCCGGTGGGCTGATAGTCAGTCATAATTGGGGATCATCCATTTGAACAAGGCCCATTACATCCCTATTTTAGATGTTTAAATCCCCATTTGAAACCACCAATACGACTTTTTGACTCTTCACTTAAATGGTTAGCAGCCAGCAGGAAACCATTGGGCTAACGTTTTCTGGTGAATGTGGGGGATGGGATTGCTGCGCCGAAATTTCGTCAGTTGGATAAAGTGTTTGCAACTCATCTTCAGTCACTGATGATTCACACTGATATTTAGATAAAGCACTTTATCCAATTGCACTGTTAGATTTTTACATGATCATTCGTCATCCCTTCTGGATCATCAGCCTCGGCAGTCTGGGAATCATCCTGGGCGACAGATGCCAAGAGGGATGCCACAAGATGCCACAACAAGTTCTGATCGTCATAGTAGTCACATGCATGATATGGTATACTGATATCGGCTGAACAGCGGGCACAAGAATGGCAGCGAAGTAATATATGATACATATTAATACATATCAACATATTGATACATGATATATGCAAGTGCATCGATCAATAATTGTCCTAGGTTCTAGATGTTCAGGTGTGTAGATTTATTAGATCTCAAAGTCATGCAAATTCGAATATTTTGCTCTCCAACAAGGTCCGATGGAGCTGCACAGTGCTTTTTGCAGGATCCCAGCGAAATTTGCTGCCAGCAGCACTTGTTTGAAACTTCTCCAAATCATTGCAATGGAAACTATATATAAAATATAATATAATATAATTAATTATGTGTCTATAGGAAATAATGTGAACATTGGGAATTGATGGGAAACAAATCCAAAAATGTGGGGCTTGAACTTGGACAATTTATGAACGTTGGGGATCTCTCTCTCTCTCTCCCTCTCCCTCCATCGCCTTCTCGATCGTTGGGGATATACAGTAACACTGACACTAACCCTTTTATGGGGGTGTAATGGGATAAGACACAACAATGCCATATAGGATTGCCTGAAAATGGCGGATGTTATGATACAAACGATACACCATTGGAATCCATTGGATTTTTCTCTCTGGTATTTTCGCTGTTTTCCGACAGATTAGCCTGTGGTTGGTGATGTCAATATCGTGGCAAGTGGCACCGAACATCCCAGGTAGGATACCCCAAATTCAGCACTCAAGTGAGTTTGTCTTAAAATGGTGGATGGGCATCCTTTTCATGTTTAGGTATCTAAATTGGGGACATGATGATAAAATCTTGAAAATATATGAAATTCTGAGGTTCCAACTGTTGAGAACAACAACTCCACCTAGGCTTGAGCATCCCAAGTAAATTTAAGTAGGAATGGAACAGTCAAAAATATGTCAACACAAGAATAAAATTGATAAATAGAAATGAAACAAGCAGCCAGTCAAGAGCACACACCTTTACCTCTAATCAACCATGGCGATGAGCATCAATCCATATCAATCCCCTATAAATGGAGGTTTAAAAAGCTGGGAAAATCATCTAGAAATGATGGATTTTTCATGGATTTTCCATCATGTTTAAGGCAATCAAGCGGGACCCCAGTTTGCACTCTAAGGTGCGAGTTGGCCGGCACGCCTTTTGTGGCGCGGCCGTTCGTGTGTGGAGATCATCACGGTTTCACCGGCTCCACTGCAAAACATTCGCGAGCTACGTGGGAGGCCCCCTAGAGCCGTTCCACAACCAGCCAGGCCCTGGTAACTTTCATGTGGATCAGGTGTTTGCGAGAGTTTCTTGATGTTTCTTGTGGGGGATTCCGATAAAATTCAGCGAGCGGATGTGAGCATCCAACAAAACCCCCAAAGAGCTAGTCATTTTGGATGATTCCTAATGACATAAATGAATAAATGAAGAAAACAACATTGAAGCCAACCCATGAACATCTCCATGACTGGAACCATGTAAACACAAAGGTCGATACGCAGCTCGGCATGTGGCCCGCCTACTTCAGCCCGGCCCAAGCCTGATGTCCCACAGTACCTCAATAGCAATGTCTGGCTCCAAGCGAAAGGTGATGACCATGGTGCAAAAATTGGGGAACTTAAGTGACCCAAATGTCTAGAATGCTATTAAAAAAACATTCAAAAAACCTAGCTTACACCCCAGTCATTCAGATTAATCCAGCAAACCCAAGAGATTGCGAAGAGGTCCTCATACCGTTCAGTTCACATGTCGTGCCCAGCATTGCCCAACCACCTTTGGAGGGATCCAGTTCTTGCTCCAAGGATAGCTCCACCAAATGAATGACACAATGTTGATCTGAACTCTCCATTTACAGTAACTTTATGGATCCTTATGGATTTTTATGGTTTGTACATGTTGGTACCCCAGTCCAGGTCCCCGTGCCCCATGTTAGCATTATGTCTTCGGAATTCTGTTGCTTCCTCGTTCATATCCATTCATCGCTTGCTGAGCAAAACCCTCAACAAAAGAACACAATCTAAACCTAAGCCACTCCACCGGACTCTACCCATTTACAATTCAGCACTCAGAATATCTCAGAATCAGCATCCAAAAACTAAGAACAGAGGAAACACATCGAACAAACATTAACAAACAATCTTTACCCCAATATTTAACCGTCAAATCTACCAAGATCATCCAATATCTACCCTCTGGTAAACTTAAAAAAAGCTATTGAAAATTGCCATAGAAATAGTGAGTTTTCCCATTAATAGCATGGTGATTTTCCAGTTCGCTATGTTAGTTTACCAATATCCTAACCCAATCTTCAGCCAATTCCAAGGCCCATTTTTTACCCCTGCCAGGCTGCCAAAGTCCACCGCCTCATGGACCCTGTGCGCCTCCGACGAGGTATCGGTATACCTCTTGCCACCCAGCTCCGCGCTGAAATTCACCGCGATGTCGCTGAAGCCCTGCTTGTACCTCTATGAACTTAAGGGAAACCCATGGAAGGACAGGCTGTGTTTGGGAGGTGATGGAAGCCAAATGAGAACATGACATACCAAGATTTCTCAAGTATTATCAGTATTATCACATGTTTATAAAATGTCATGAGATCAGTACTAACTTACCAACTTGTTGAAATCATCCCCAAATCTGAGAAATCAGTGGATTGCGGTGCCAAAAATTTAACCCAAGCTGCTCATCCCAGTCCATCCAAAAAACGCCGTTGTCCTTGACGCCCACCTGCCACACGCAAACGAACATGGTCATGGATGTCATGGATGTCATGGATGTCATGGATGTCATGGATGTCATGGATGCAAAATGGCCAACATTCAAAAATCTCAATCCACATTGTTTTTCTTCACCTTTCTGCGATATGCTGTCAGCATTCCACTCCTATCATCGATGCAAGGGAAACTAGCGGAAAGCGTTTGATCCCATGACCTATTCTACCCTAAGAAAGAATACAACAGTTATCCGCTGCTAAACATTAAATCAATTTTAATTGCACTATATATTCACATCGAAACCTATCCCATCATATCAGAATCTCAAAGAATCTCCAAACATCTATCAACTGGTGGTGGTCGTTCCCCATTCAAACTTGGACTGCCATGTCTGACATGGGTGAAAACATGGGAGTAATTGTGGAGAAAATTGGGGAATCCCTTCCCTCCAACACTAAATACCACCCTAAAAACCCTGGCTTAGTATTGGATCTACTCACTTTGGGCCCCGTCTTGGGGGTATTGAATATGTTTTTTGCTTTGGGGGGAAGGGGTTATTGCCATCCCTGCCATCTTTCAGCAGCATTTCAGGGCCGGGCCTTGTGCCCCGTGGCTTTCAACGCTTCGGGATAAGCGTTCCAGCTTTCCCAGTCATCGTCGTGAAAGCGGCCGAACCACTCGTTGGTCATGTGAGGGTTACCTGAAAAAACGACCGTTTTCGGTTGGTCCTTTGTGATGTGGCTACGTGCCGCTTCGGCGTCATCCTCTGACATCCTCTGACTATTGTTTTTGTCTCCCAAAGTTCTCCTCATGTGTTCTCACTGTTTGGGAACCAGTATTATGCTTGTTTTAATAGCATCAAATGGATCATGGTTGATCTTTTTTGCACCCTGCAAAAGCGTCAATTTGCAACTGGACATTCTACATTTCACATCGTTTCACCCTAATCCTGGCCCAAACATTGGCCCCTAAACCACGGGAACTGCGACGAGTGGCGCACGTGGATCATCCTCAGCACCTTATCCTGGCCATCACGAGTGTAGGGCACGTCCAGCATACGCAGCAAGGTGTAGGCCTCAGGATGCTGGACGGATTTATGGCTGGGAGATAGCTAACTATACTCAGTAGGGGTAAAGCACGAGGCGCGTCGTAGAGGGTTTGTTTATGTAAGGGTTTGTCGTTTGCTAGTTTTCCTTTTCTGCATACATTTTTTGAAAAATCAAAAACGAGCGAAAGGGAGCCAACAAGAGCAAAAAGAGACAAACAAAATCAACAGAGACATCATTTACAGGAAACCCAAGAAGTAAACCTACTGAAAGCTACTGAGCTGGTTTGTGAAAAAGAAACAATCCACATGTGTGTAAACACAGCGAGCACAAAAGTTTCCAATGGTTTCCTGTCCCTTCCTATTGCAACACATGACTACAACTGCTTTACAGCTGACAGCGATGAACATCTGGTTCACAGAACTTCATCTTGCCGTAAACCGTCATTGAAGTACCCTCTGGTAATTTAACAGTTCGCTATAGAAAATCCACCCATTTTAGAGCTAGGTAAACCATCTATTTCTATGGGCCATCTATACCATAGCTATGTTAGTTTACCCCACACATCACCACAGCAGCTAAGATTACAGCAGCATCCGTTGGCTTGGCCACATGAAACTGACAGCGAGTCGAGTAGCTGTGGACTAGCGCCCTGGGAAAACACAACTTATTTCATACAATTGCATATATTTACATGTATTTACATTAAAAAAAAACAACAACAACAAATACAATGTAACTACAATTTTCCGCAAAAAAGAGCCAACGAGCTACAAAGAGCCGAATTGAGCAAACAAGAGCAGACATGAGCACAAATATGCAAAAGTGAGCAAGCACCAAGGCAAACAAATACAAAAATAAACAAAAAAAGAACCCAGAAAGAGCAGACATGAGCAAAAAAAAATATTCAAAAGGCAAGACTGAGACCGGAAGAGGCAAAAAGAAGAGAAATATGAGCCAAAAAGAGCAAACATGAGCAGCAAAATCAACCAAAAAGAGCAAAAAAGAGGCAGAAAAGAGCAAACAAATGAATCAAAAAGAGAAAAACGAGCCAAGAGCACAAATGGGCAGACATAATCCGTTGCTTTTTGTTTGTTTCCTTAATCAGTTTCACATCCCTGGGAACCAATACACATCCACAACCCCCACCACACACCACACACATTACCCTTGGTGATATACCCATTAATAGTGGGTAGACATGCTGGATGAATCTGGATGACGTTTGTCACGGGATATTCATGCGGATATCTATGAATTAAGAAATTTAGGGGGATATCATGACATGTCGGATACCATATGCCTCAAGTTATGGCAGCCATTCCATGAGAACATGATCTGAAATTGGGCATGGGACATCCCAAATGGGCAGCAGTCAAGGTCTCCAAAAGATCAGGAATGCCTGACCGACCCTAGTTACCCTAGTTGGTCAAGGAAAGAGCCCAGAGTTTCGCATTGTTCCACGAAATAAGTCGTGCGACACATGGGCATGGTGATACACACACATATATGCAGTGTTCACACTTGCCATCATGACCATGCTTCTTCGGAAGATAATTTCTGTGATAAGGATTCTAAAAAAAACAGATTGCTTCAGCTTCAATTTACAATTTTAGATCATATTGTGCTTGTCAACAACAGTCAAAAACCCATTTGACCTAGTTTTGGGGATTTGTAGCCGTTTGCTTGATTTTTTAGGCATTTTGAAGGTTTTTGTAGGTGCGCACTCTTGCCCAGAAAGTGCACATCGCATACATCAACCAATTTAAGGATTGTGAGTCAGCAAGTCTCACTTGACAGCTGATTGAACAACTACTGCAACATGGCTGGTTAGAGTTTAATGACTCGTTTCTAATGGATGGAGGGGTGAGTGCTGGTTGACCCTCTAGTGGTGGGACCACCTCTCAGTGCATGACTCTGTTCTATGACGATGGTCCACACTAGGGAAACTACTTGAAGGTGGGATGTGTAACATGGGAATTCAAGATGAAGTAAAAACGCATAAACCAGGGGAATCATGCAAAATCTGCAGAACTAGGCGTTTTGGTTGATAAGATAAGTACTTTTTCTGACCGATATCTCAAAAAACTGCCAACAACCTAGGACAATCATCAAAAAATATTATGAACGAAAACCTAGGACCTAGGGTGGGATTTTGGGGTTCCAAAGTTTGAGACAAGCCCATCTTAGTCGAACAGGGTTGTGTTATGATAGTTATAGAGTTATCATAAATCTCATACCTTGTCGGAGGTAACCGGTGGACATTTTGAGATATGGAAGGTTTCCTGAAATGGGGATACCCCCAAATCCTCCATTTAACTCATTTTAACAGGATTTTCCACTATAAACCAACCAGCTATTGGGGATCCCCTTTTTATGGAAACCCGGCCACCTGTTTTACTGCGACTGAAGGGCATGGTTCGCCAGAATGCCCTTGTAGTTCTGACGGGTGTTGCAAGCCAGGGCATGACCTAGGAGAACCATCCCCAAAACTTCATGGGAAAATGGGAAAATAAAAACCACATCCCCAAACATGATGTTGGTTATGTATACATAATATATATATATCCCATGATATCCATCCATCGATGGATTCATATGATTTTATATGATTTTATGTGATATATATAGATATATGTGTGATATACATATATATATATATATACATAGAATAATCCTTAATTCTTCTTGGTAAAAAAATCGTTAAATCCACCCCATCTCTTTCTTCTCCCTCTCTGGGTCTTGATGGCATATACCCTCTGGTAATTTAACATAGCTATAGAAAATCACCATGCTATTCATGGGAAAATCCACTATCAATGACCATTTTCAATAGCTTTTTGTATGTTTACCAGAGGGTAGCCCATGGCCAAGACACCCGCGTGGTTCCACTCTTTCAGCTTCTCCCAGACCCATTCGTCCGTCAGCTCCACCTCGCCATCGCTGAAGGTAGAGGCATCCTGAAGCCAAGCCACGAGCGTTGGACCATTTAAGGTGAACTAACATAGCTATTAAAAATGGCCATTGATAGTGGATTTACCCAATAAAACTGGTGGATCTTTCCATAGTTACGTTAGTTTACCAGAGGGTAAGATGAACAACACGAACAGATCCGTCTATATATTATGATTGTGTATATACATATGTATGATGCTGGTGTATAAATAAACATAACCGCAAGTAATCAACACACATATTGAATAAATACATCTATATGATCTATACGTATATATATACACATACAAGTTCATGGAATGATTATGCATTATTAGAATCATCTAAGGCAGGGAGAAACCACCAAATAACATGATGTTTGAAACAGCCACCCCACAGAACTATCTCAACCGAATTGTTGAGGGTGAATCCCAACCCCAAATCACCACACTCGGCAGATGTCTGCTGATTTCCTATGATTTCCTGACATATTCTTCTGTCCCTGTGCTTCTTACATGTGGGAAACCCGATGCCATCACCACTTGGGGACGGTTGAAATCCAAACCATTTGAGGCATTTTGATTTGCCATGCGCCTGGCGGAGGGTTTTTCTTGGCTCCCTGGCTGATGGCGGCCCAGCCTGAGTGAAATATCCCCAATTCGCATCGTAGCTCTCAATACGCATGGCAACGGTGGCATGCTGGGCAGATTCCTCGTCCTTTCCGCAGCGGAAAGCATAGGGCGCATGGGTGCCTGCGCACACACTGCCGTTGGGGGGGAGATCTGATCGCTGCATTCTCAGAGATCAAGGAATGTTGGGGTATTTGCTAATTACCTAAAGTGGAAGTACGGTTATCTAACACATGTAAGGGGTGCACAATAATCGAATATATTATATAAATTTATATCATATATTCTAAACACGTTGAAGCCCTACATGGCCCAGTACCTCAGTTTCGGCCATTTTAGGGACCTAAATGAGTCACTTAAGGCCCTACCCCTCTGCCTCCAACATCAGGGCTCACGCTGATGCCTTGGAAGTCCGTCTCAAGTTCAGCCCCTACTGAAAGATGGCTATGCAAATGGCATGCTATCATGCATACTCTTAGACAGTTCTCAAGCAACACATGGCAAAAGTGGCAAAACATGGCAACTACTCTCTGGTAAACTAACATAGCTATAGAAAATCAGCATCTTTAATGGGTAAATCAACTATAAATGGGCCATTTTCCATAGTTATGTTAGTTTACCAGAGGGTTTATGCAACTTTTTAGTTTCTTGAGGCATCTGGTGGCCTTGGCATTGCCTTGGTATCCACATCCCAGGTGCACAGCGATGGTTTCCCCGTCAGCATTTCCATGGCCACGGATTCCCAGCCACCGTCGATGCCTGGGGGATCCAGCATCGTTCACTTTTAAAAAGTCACCATGAGCGATATATCCGATAAATGTTATATATATATATATGAGGGGCTTATTTGGGATGGTCCCCCCACCTGGTCTAATCTATGTGGAAATAATAATTATATATATATATATATCATAGAATCACATATATATATATATATGTATAATATACAGTATATCCGTAATTGCTATTATTTCCTATTCATCTCTTGGGCTTTTGGCCACAGCCGCAGCACAAAACGCCAGGCTTCGGTGGTAGGACTTCACAAACTTCGCCACGGCCTTCTCCAACAAACAGGGCCAAAACTCGTTCTCCTTCGTAGGCTTAGCCTTGACCAAGGGTGGTGGTCGGATCTGCTACGAAAATTTAAGGTCCCCTCCACAATGAGGGTGGTGACAAGTGGGGGAATCAAAATGTTGGGTTTCCATAAAAGGGGGTACCCCCAAATAGATGGTTTATAATGGAAAATACCATTAGAATGAATGATTTGGGGGGTACCCCCATTTATGGAACCCCTCATATGTTGGGTTGACATTATCCTTCTTGTGATGTTCAGTAAGAATAGCAGTTGAGATGCAATGAGATGGATGATGCATTTTAACAATCCTCCCACACACAAGTAAAATTGAAAACCACACGGCATCATGATAGGAATTGAATGTGATTTTTAAATGCACCATTTTTCTGCCCGTTTGAGCTGAGATCTTGACGAAGCAAAGGTTGCCGTGCTTTCCTGCAGCTCAAGAGCAGCAAACCCATGCTGGTTAGTGGTTTCAACCCAGCCGGGGGTATACTACGTAGTCACTTGGGACAATCATCCCATTTGTTGGACGGATAATTTCCATGCATTTATAGAATTTGAAGCCTCTGGCCACCAACCGGTACAAGTGACTAGGCAGGGGGGCCTCCGACATCTCTCCATATCATGCCAATTCTTATGATCTTCTCAAACCTTGTATGTACAACAGGGGTGTAACCACCTGCGTACCATTTTCGGGGTATGATGGGACGTTTTCGACCGAATTCTGATGTTTTTTAGCGGAGGTTAGTCAATTACTGCTCCGACTGCGGAATCTATGGATGTCCTGGCTTCTTCCAGTATGGCAGGCGATCGTCGATGGTGATGACTTTCCATTCCTCAGCAGTCTGGAACCCGAATGAGTACTGACCCATGGGTTGAATGGGTCAACCTCCATTCTGTATGGATCATACACCATCCGAAATTCGAATCAATAGTTATTTTCCAAAAAGACACCAGGTAAAAGGATATGGTGGCTGGAGCCTCCACTTTATATTGGCTGTTCTGTTGCAGCCTGAAAAATTTTGAAAAGCTGCTCTGCAACAGAGCCAACGCTATTCTTTTTCTATCGCCGAATATTTATCCATGGCCTCAGCTTGCAGCAAAATTCGCACTGGATTTATGTGTTGTTTTTCCGAATGAGTATGGATCAAAACCTATTACCCTCTGGTAATTCAACATAGCTATATAGAAAATCACCATGCTATTAATGGGAAAATCCACTATTTCTATGGCCATTTTCAATAGCTTTTTGTATGTTTACCAGAGGGTAGTACCACATTTTGATACATTTTGTGGGATGAACATCCATTCACCACGGGGTGCGTCTCCGAGCCGCTTCCGCAATTGGGTCATAGAGTCGCACATCGTATCCTCAGGGCGGATACGAAACTGCTGCCATTCACGTACGATTCCTTGATCACAAAAAACAAAAAAAAACAGCAACAACAACAACAACAACAACAATTCAGCATTGATACACAACTTGATAATGTAATGAAACCCTATAGTTAGTTATTTATAGTCTATAGTTATTTCATGTTATTTCATGTTATTTCATGTTATTTCATGTTATTTCATGTTATTTCATGTTATTTCATGTTATTTCGCTTCTTTGGTATCATTGATAGATTGGAAGGTTGATCTTTGATCTGAATTGTAGATGTCAGATGTTCACCAAGTCATCCCTGTCTAGTCCTCGATGAATCTGCTTGGATCATGGGTGCAAACCCTCCACACTATTTATGTTTCCTCTTTTTCCCCCATGAATCTTCGTGTGTACACCCATGAATTTCAACACCCTTCAAACATATTTCCAAATTTTGTTTGTGCCTGTTTGATCCTTTTTGGTTCATGTTTTGTTATCGAATACTCTCCAGTATAAACTGAGATATCTCTGGAACATTTCTGTTTTCTATAGTTGAATCACCGACTTAAATATGTCCACCTATAGGAAACTATTATATTAGGATGGCCTATATTGTGGGATCTCCAAATGTAACTATGGCCCAACGATAGAATTGTATAGAATTGTAAAATATATGGCCCACACTATCTCCAATATATGGTAAACCCAATAATTCATAAACCTACCATTTTGGGATGGTTGGAATCCCAGCCCATAAAACTCAAGTGATTTTGGGGATGATTTCTATTGGGTTCATCCAGGTTACGTCCATCAACGCTAAGCTCCTTCTGCTTGAAGAGCGCCCGCACCCGGTCGGGATACTCCGCGAGGGCTGAGAAGGAAGAGACCATCCAGCCTTGGGAGGCATCCTGCGACTGACCCCGGGATGGCGAATGGCGAATAGCAGTGCCATGCAAATATACATCTAATGTGGGAAAACCCATGCCATAAACCATCCACATATATCACGACGGACATGGGTAGTAAGTATTAAGTCTCATCCCAAAATGGTAGGTTTATGGCATTGGGTCGCTTACATGTAATAGATATGACATACCTCAGTTGGGTAGTAGAATACCTCGAGTTAGATCAATATGGATTAGATTATATACCATTACAAGTTAGAAGTTACCAGTAGTGCCCGGCCGGGGTGGAAGTTTCAAGAGGGCGATGACAATATGAGGGCCATGGTTGATGGGGTCGGATGTAGTCCTTGAAAGTGAATATTTCACGTGAAGTAATTATATGCAGAAACATCAGTGTTGTGCACCAGTGTTTAGCCCGAACACAAATTTCAGGACTTCATCAGTATGAGCTTTGCAATTCGTCAAAACTCTAATCAACATATACATATATAATATAACAGTACCCTCTGGTTATTTACATAGCCATGGAAAATGGCCCATTTATAGATGGTTTACCTACTAAAAATTGTGATTTTCCACGGTTATGTTAAATAACCAGATGGGAATTATAATAATGATAATTAATAATAATGATAATAATAATAATATATAATACTATATAATAATAATGATCATAACAATAACAATATAAAATAATAATAATAAATAATAATAATAATAATAATAACAATACTAATAACAACAATAATAATACCAATACTAATAACAACAATAATCCGCCGACCCCTGCCGACAGCAGGGGGAGCGCGTCAGAGAAGAGATTACAAGCAACAAGTGTTGTGCAGTGCAAGTGAGGGGCAAGCGAGGGGGGGACAGAAAGGGAAGCCAGGTGCAGAGTAAGAAGCCCAAAAAAGGAAGCGAGAAAGGGGAGGCAGTCTCAGCGAACGTAGCAAGCGAAAGAAGCACGAAACAAGAAGTTAGAAGCAAGAATGCAGAAGCAAGAGTAAACGAGCGACAGAAAGTAATGTTTGGCACTCTGGGCTACGGGCCGCGGGCCCAATCCGTCCTTCACTGCCATGGTGTTTTAGCCCTGCGAGGAAGTCCCTTGACCGGAGCTGTGCCGCACGAAAGCCAGCTGTCAGACAATGCAGGCAAGTTGGCTGTTGGCAGTGCAGGAACGCAGGGAAAAGCTAGGTTTGAGCTGCAAGATGACGCAGGCAAAGTGGCAGTTGGCAGTGCAGGAAGGCAGGGAAAAGCAAGGTTTGAAGCTAGTTTCTAGGCAGTTCAGAAAGCAACGTTAGGCACCGTGGGCTGCCGGCTGCGGGCCCGATCCGTCCTTCAGTGCCATGGTGTTTGGGCCCTGCGGAGGGGTCCTTTGACCGGACCTGTGCAGGACGCACGCCAGCTGCAAGAAGACACGGGCAAGCTAAGTTTGGAGCTCGTTTCTAGGCAGTTCAGAAGGCAACGTTAGGCAGTGGGGGCCGTGGCCCGCAGGCCCCGTCCGTCCCTCAGGGCCCTGCTGTTTCGGTGTGGCGAGCGCGCCCTGTGTGAGCCTTGGCGGCTGGAAGACAGGTCGTGGCGGCCGTGGCTCGCACGCCCGGTCCGTCCTTCAGGGCCCTGCTGTTTGGCTGTGGCGGAGGCGCCGTTTTAGGTCAGACAGCTACTTTTCTTGTAGGTTCAGAAAGCAACGTTAGGCAGTGGGGGCCGTGGCCCGCAGGCCCCGTCCGTCCCTCGGGGCCCTGCTGTTTCGGTGTGGCGAGTGCGCCCTGTGTGAGCCTTGGCGGCTGGAAGACAGGTCGTGGCGGCCGTGGCCCGCAGGCCCGGTCCGTCCCTCAGGACCGTGCTGTTTTGGCGTGGCAATCGCGCCGTGTATGAGCTTTGGCGGCTGGAAGACAGGTCAGGCAGCTTGCTTTCTTGTAGGTTCAGAAAGCAACGTTAGGCAGTGGGGGCCGTGGCCCGCAGGCCCGGTCCGTCCCTCAGGGCCTTGCTGTTTCGGTGTGGCGAGCGCGCCGTGTTTGAGCCTTGGCGGCTGGAAGACAGCAAAGAGAGTTACTTTTCTTGTGGGTGCAGAAAGCGACGTTAGGCACTGAGTGCGGTGGCCTGCAGGCCCGGTCCATCCTTCAGGGCCCTGCTGTTTGGCTGTGGCGGAGGCGCCGTTTTAGGTCAGACGGCTGCTTTTCTTGTGGGTTCAGGGGGCGACGTTAGGCAGGTGGGGGCCGTGGCCCGCAGGCCCCATCCGTCCCTCAGGGCCCTTCTGTTTCGGTGTGGCGAGCGCGCCCTGTGTGAGCCTTGGCGGCTGGAAGACAGGTCGTGGCGGCCGTGGCCCGCAGGCCCGGTCCGTCCCTCAAGACCCTGCTGTTTTGGCATGGCAATCGCGCCGTGTGTGAGCTTTGGCGGCTGGAAGACAGGTCAGACAGCTAGCTTTCTTGTAGGTTCAGAAAGCAACGTTCATATTGGCACTTGTTGTGGCGTGACTGGGTTCGGATATGGACCAGGCATGGAACGGGTCTGGATCGGGGTATGGATCAGGACACCATGCTTTTTTAGTTCTACACGTGCCAGGCAAAGTAGAAACAGAAGGACTTGTAGTCATAGCACCACTAGAAGTACAATAAGCACCTAGTGGAAGTAGAACCGGTCTTACAAGCCTCCAAGGTGCACTTGCAATATTGCGAGTAGCTAGTCAACTAGTTACATTTGTCCAACAACCGAAGCACACGGAGAACATGAGCCAGCACCAGCAGCGAGAGCACGACCAGCAGGAGCAGTAGCAGCAGCTCCTGGGAGGATAATCACTAGTAGTGGCGGCGGCAGCAGCAGCGGAGGCAGTGGAGGCAGCAGTAGAAGCAACGGTAGTAGCGATGGGAGTAGCAGTACGACGACCAGAAGCAGTATATATTAGGATAAAAAGCATCGTTAAGGCCAGCATCAGTCTTTCTTCAACGAGAAAGGGGTATGGATCTGGGGTATGGATCAAGGGTATGGATCAAAGTATGGATTGGGGGGTATGGATCGTGTGTAGCTTTGGCGCCTTGATCCATACCTTGTATTTTGACTCGTACCCATATAGTTTTCTTCTAGGTTCCGGAAGTGACGTATGTGTCAACTCCCCCTCTCCCAGGGGTCGGCGGCAGGGGGCGTAGCCCCTTAATAATACCAATTAATATTAATATATATTAATAATAATGAACTGCATACATTATACCTGTATAAACAACTTGGGATGTGCATCCCCAGCATTTCGCAATTCAGATCCACCAAGCAACAATCGCCCAGGTAGCCCTGTTGGATGTCTCTGGGAGATACGTGCCTTGGCCGGTGCCAATGGAAGCAGGACTTTAGCCGCCACGGCATCACAAAGGTGAAATATGTTTCAATATGTTTGTGTAGTAGTTTAAACCAGTATATATATATACACATAATTATTATATAATTTTATTTCTTAAATTATTTTTGGATGATTTATGAATTTGCTATAATCTGGTACCGTTAGAAATACCGTGATTCCAAGTCCCAAGACACGCTGCAAGCCTCCGCTGATCTTGAACCTTCCTGGTTTCCCCATCCCCCGGAAGACAAATAAGAGATTAAGAGATATGAAGAGGAACGCAAATCTATGCTTTTCCAAATCTTCCTCATGTTTGGCCATGTGCCCATCTGTTTTTTTCGGCTGATTTTCACCATCAGTGGCCAGGCGACTTGAAGAGGCACGGCTCACCCTCTGAGGCGAAGAGTTTGTAATTGTAGGCCTGGCTCCCAATGACCTGCCGTTTTTCGTCACTGGAGGTTCCAACAGCTGAAAAACCGAAATGGGAAAGATGTGGCGAACCTTAAGAACATGCCAGCAGAAGTCGATTTGCATAGCAGCAAATCTTTTATCTTCCTTTATTTTTGGGGAGGAATTGAGCCGCGCACCAACGAAACCAAGGTTTATCCAATTTATCCAGTAGGCATTGTATTGTTTGATATGCCCTATCAACATAGGATTTCTCCATGGATTTCCATTGCCATGTTTCAGGGCCAGAGCGAGGAAGCGGTTCTACACCAGTGTTGATGGTGGACAACGGTGAAGTCATCAGGAAACCGAAGAGTTCGGTAAGGATTTTTCCCAGCGGTGTCCAAAAACGTGGTTTTCAGTTCCATGTGGGAACCAGAGATACCCTCTGGTAAACTACCATAACTATGGAAAATCACCATGTTTAATGGGAAAAACCACTATAAATGACCATTTTCAATAGCTATGTTTGTTTACCAGAGGGTAAGTGTAGATGTCATAACATAACATATCATAACACACCCATGGCATTGTCCCATTCGCTGGCAATGACTGGGGAATATCAGTCCCATGTTTGGAGAAAGCCAACAAATCAGCGCTATCGCCTCATGTGTTTGTCTTCCATCGGCATGACCAAATAGCAACCAATCATGAGATGGCTTAGCCAAATGTGACATACAATATAATTCTAAAAATGACATGGTAAAGTACTGAAATCATAATTCTTACAATGCAAACATAGCCGGCCGTGATTTATCTTTTGATGATTACCTTGACGCAATATTCAGTCATAGAGGTTCGTCAATCATATTCCATTCATATTACCATGATTATCCCATGATTATCCCATCAATAAACCAACACATTAAACGATCATTAAACCATCATTATCCCATCATTATCCCATCATTATCCAATCATTAAACCATCACATTAAACCATCATTCAACCATCATTATCCCATCATTATCCCATCATTGTACCATCATTAAACCATCATTCAACCATCATTATCCCATCATTATACCATCATTAAACCATCATTATGCCATCATTATTCCACCATTATCCCATGATTAAACCATCATTAAAAACAATCATTAAACCATCATTAACCCATTATTATGCAATCATTATCCCATCATTAAACCATCTAAAAAAAAAAAAAACATATAATTCCCTTGCAAGTTGCACCTGCCGCGGTCGAGCCCAACCGGGCACCACATACTTTAGCATCTCCTAGGGCTGTCCGCTGGGCTTTTAGCTGCCTTTTGTCTAGCCATTCTAAAGCTATTTTTATGGTAGGCTTATAGCTTAAATATGGTTAAGTGGTGATTAATAATGGTAATTTTACAATAATCATCCATAATCCGGTATCATGTTTCATGGTCGATAATGGTTGATCATGGTTGATCAGCCATGATTGGATGTGATCATGCTTGATCAACCGTGACTATTTTTTTTTTAATGATACTAAATCTGGTTGGTGGTTTGAACCCCTCTGAAAAATATTAGTCAGTTCAGTTGGGATGCTTATTCCCAATATATGGAAAAACAAAATGTTCCAAACCACCAACCAGTAATAAATGATACTAAATGTATGTGCTGGGATCACGAAAACCTGCATTTGGTGCAGGATTAAACGGCTATGCAGGCTATTTTGGTAACACCATGGTAATGGGAAAGCCATCAACGCTGGGTGTTTAAAAATGGGGATATGCCACCAGCTGTTTGAAACCCAACATTTTTGGGGAAATGGCCATCCCGGGACCGGGAGATGAAAAATACGGTATGAATCTGTATGGGTAGTAATTAAACGATTCTGAAACCAAACAAGACCAGAATGAGGGTCTAAAAAGTCTAAAGTTTACATAAATCTAACCAACAAAAAAAATGTGTTTGCCCACGCAAATTGGGGTTCTACCGTCAACATATTTGACTTTACATGATGACGTCTTGCGACTTGCCAAATCATACACCACACATCAGTAAGAATCAATATGATTTGTACCAAGTGGCCCCTGGAACAGCTGGACCCTAACCTCTTGGGATTCTCAGATGATCCAAAGCAACTTTTGAAGATAAGCAAACACGAGCAAAGCAAAAAGATGATCCACAGAATAGCAAATCTCTCTCCATGAATCAATCTTCCATCAGACCCCCGGATCTTCAATGTGTTCAAAAAAGGACCTTTCACCCGCGTCCTTCAAATAGCTGGCCAAAGGGTTGGCACTATCGCCTGACAGCTCCGAAATCATGGGATTTTTGAGGCTCACCAACTATAGGCTCACCAACTCATAATTTAGCCAAGACAATAAGAAGACATTTTTTACAACAGAAACTGCAACCCAAAACATGAGATTTCTATTGTTATATAGAGACCGTTCTTAGAAACCATCTCTACAACATTCTACAACTATTACCAACACATCTTCCGCTTTCGATTTCACTAACGTTCTAAGCAGCGCGGCCAAAGACAGGCGGCCTGTCACACCGCCAATGCTGCTGTTTTCCGCTGGAAAGTCCGCATCTTCGAAGAGCGGCGTTTTCGGCTTCGGGTTCTTGGTGGAACCTTTGAAGTCGTGCTCCTGGCGAACAGACAAATTGCAGTTTTTCAATGGGGAAGACGCTAAAGAAAGATAATTTTGAGACTTAGTTAGGTGACAAATATTGACAAAATGGTGAAAGTGAAGTTTCGAATCATTGCCGCAAGCAGTTGAACCATGTTGAAGCCACATAATCAGTCATGAAAACCATCATGCCCGGAAAACTCAATGCCATTGGCTGAAGTGCAGAGCGCCATCAGTGCTATCCTGCAATGCTGGCAGCATGGGTGGTGGTCGAATGAATGCCCTCTTCTTGTCCTTGGAGAGGTGGGTCGGCCGTCCCACTGGGAAGCTGAAAAACAGTGGAATGGCATTACAAAGTTTGTGCCAAAAAGAACTCATGCAACTCATGAACTTCGAGATTCGAATTCGATTGAATCGATTTGAGTGGTTCACTCTGCTCTCTTTTTTTGCGAAACATAACATTGTTTGTTTGATCATGTATGTGGCTATGGTCCCCGTCGCATCCCGATGCGTGTGGTCTGCCACCCAGAAACCATTCGATTCACCTTTGGCCCCAGGGCTGTCTTGTAGACCACCTGGACTCCGAGATGATCCAAAGTGTAGTGCAAGTGTTGTGGGCATAGACATGGTGTATACTATATGTAGTATTTACAGTATATAAATATATATATATATATCTATCTATTCTGTATTTACTATATCAATCTATCTGTCTGTCTGTCTGTCTATCTATCTATCTATCTATCTATCTATATATCTATAGATATACATGTATTTACATGTATTTACATGTGTTTACTGTACTATATATATATATATGTATGCCCATATGTATGTGTGTATGTATGTATGTCTGTATGTATGTATGTCTGTCTGTCTGCATGTATGTATGTATGGATGTATGGATGTATGGATGTATGGATGCATGGATGCATGGATGCATGGATGCATGGATGCATGGATGCATGGATGCATGGATGTATGGATGTATGGATGCATGGATGCATGGATGCATGGATGCATGGGTGCATGGGTGCATGGATGCATGGATGCATGGATGTAAGGATGCATGGATGCATGTATGTATGTATGTATGTATGTGTGTGTGTCTGTATGTATGTATATGTGTGTGTGTCATGTATGTATGTATGTATGTATGTATGTATGTATGTATGTATGTATGTATGTATGTATGTATGTATGTATGTATGTATGATTATGTATGATTATGTATGTATGTATGATTATGTATGATTATGTATGATTATGTATGATTATGTATGATTATGTATGATTATGTATGATTATGTATGATTATGTATGATTATGTATGATTATGTATGATTATGTATGATTATGTCTGATTATGTCTGATTATGTCTGATTATGTATGATTATGTATGATTATGTATGATTATGTATGATTATGTATGTATGTATGTATGTATGTATGTATGTATGTATGTATGTATGTATGTGTATGTATGTGTATGTATGTGTATGTATGTGTATGTATGTGTATGTATGTGTATGTATGTGTATGTATGTATGTATGTGTATGTATGTGTATGTATGTGTATGTATGTGTATGTATGTGTATGTATGTGTATGTATGTGTATGTATGTGTATGTATGTGTATGTATGTGTGTATGTGTATGTATGTGTATGTATGTGTATGTATGTGTATGTATGTGTATGTATGTGTATGTATGTGTATGTATGTGTATGTATGTGTATGTATGTGTATGTATGTGTATGTATGTGTCTGTATGTGTCTGTATGTGTCTGTATGTGTCTGTATGTGTCTGTATGTGTCTCTATGTGTCTGTATGTCTGTATGTCTGTATGTATGTATGTCTGTATGCATGCATGCATGCATGTATGTGCATGTAATGTACGTATGTACATTGATAAATATAGTACCTATGATTTTAATATGTGCTGCCAAACCTTCCGCACCCTGGTTTTTACATCTGAAAAAAAGGATTCTTTGGATATCTACCCAACATTCAGCTTCCACCATCCATCACCTGGATCTCGGTGGTGGGTTTGGAAGCCGACGTTGGCCCTTCTTCGTTTGGCTTGCAGTTGCCTGGGCCCATCTGGGATCGAGGTCACTTCACCTGACATATCCTGACTAACAGTTCGCCATGGGAGCCCATTGAAATAGATGGTTTACCTATAAAAAATGGAGATGTTCCATGGCTATGTTAAATAACCAGAGGGTAATCAGTGTAATCTCCTTTCAATTCTCGCATGATTTTGGGATTTCAACTCCCATGCAGGTTCCACATCACTGAAAGTCGTCAGCAGGTATGAGATGATGTGGTTCCGTCAGGTGGTTCAAGACAGGTTTTTTTTCACCTACCTCTATTGGAGCATGGAACTCGGGGTTGATTGGATTCTGAAAACGAGTTTTGAGATAGCACTTCTCACGAAGCACAATAGCCACAATGAGGATACACCGGGGATATGATCAACAGAAAGGGAGAAACATGGCCTGGTTTGGAAGCCCCTGATCCCCTTTGGGGCCTCGGGCGTCCTAATCACCACCCCATACCAAGCAACTACTTGGATGAGCATCCCCCTTAGTAAATTGTTGATAACTCATGAATTGTAACTGGGGATATTGCACACAGATGCACCGCAAGACAACCCACCCTGTGAGGACGTGTCACAATTCCCCATGGTCTATATCGGGTCTATGCACGCCACGTAGGAACGAGACAGGACCGTAGGCTTGAGCCGGTTCTGGCAGAGCTCAGGTCTGCCCGAAAAGGGAAATGGCACAGACCTTTCAGTGAGTCAATCCTCATGCAAGACTGCGATGAGAATTTCAACCAATTTGAACCAGCTGTTCTTGTTGTTGCCTTCTATACATGTCAATGGCCCACTGGATGAAGGTGGGGGTTCAAGATCCACTTTCATTTCAGGCGAGGTGTTGTTGAAGCCTGATAATAGGTTTTTTGATGCCACTAATGTTGTTTTCTTTAAATCTAGATCTCCCCATTTGGTGTCGTCCTTGATAATTTCAGGTTGGTCAAAGTCCTCCCCAGTTAGTGTTCTTCTGACCAAATCCACGATTGATAGATGATAAGCCCGTTTCAACCAATGGCTAAAATCATGTATAATATGTAGAAGGCATTTCCGGTTGCTGTGTTCTAAATCCTCCCTTCAACTGCACCACCCAACTGAACCCTCCTGGCTTCGCAAAGCTTCAAGCCTAGCCTGGCCATTCTGGTTGTTGGGCTCAACCCCTGACGTCCTTGGTAAATTACAAATTGAAGCGACCCACTCAATCTTGAAATCCTGGCCCTAGAATGCTTTTAGAATGCTTTAGATATGTTCAGATTCCACATTATCAACCAAAGGCTCATGTTAACCATCCTTGAGATTTGACAGCTCAGAGGTGGTAAAAAAAGGGGCCCACGGCTTGGTTCTTCGCCAACCACGCTGGCAACATCGGAAGGCAACCATGGCAAATACAAACAGAACATAATAATTTTGAGGTTTCCTAAAATGGGGAGTACCCCCAAATCATCAATTTTAATAGGATTTTCCATTATAAACCGATCCATTTTGGGATACCACCATTTATAGAACCCCCCTACATACATATATATATATATAATTTATTTATTTATATCATTTATATATAATAAACATATACACATAATAATCATATCAACATATATCAACATCATATCAAATCATACATAACCCACTTCCAACAAACCATCAACAGACCTTAGGACCTCCTCCCACGCCTGCAGGGCTTGTCTCAGCTCAGAGACTTTGGAAGGCAAGGGGCTTCCGGCCACACGGGGGGACTGGCCGGGTGAGCCCGGCTCTCACGGCTCTCACGGATTCAAGAGTTGAAGATGTTGAAAGTGCCAGCCCTCTATTTGACCTGGCCATATACCCTCTGGTGAACTAACATAGCAATGGAAAATGGCTATTTATAGTGGATTTTCCCATGAAAAATGGTGATTTTCCATTGCTATGTTAGTTCACCAGAGGGTATTTGAAGTTCCAGGTGTATTTTCTGCAGCATAGTGCACCCTTGTTCAATGCCTTCGTCCACTACAGTCTCTGATTGAATGTTGCATTGCTTTAACGAAGCCTAATCATGGCTTGTTGCCTCATCTGGATCAACACCCCAACATAATTATCCCAACAATTTTGCACCAAAACAGGAGCCAAACAGCCTGCTCGTCCTCGCTGCCTTCATCCTCCTCCTCAATTTCTTTTTTGCCTCGAACTGCAGAGTTCGCGCCACCGAACTAGTCGGCACAAATGGACATCACGTGATGTGTGTTGTGGTACGGAAATAGCATGAAATAGCTATGCCATGCGTGGCAGCTAGCGCATTTCAGGCATCCCAGGCATCCCAGCACAGTTCTGTGGGAATCTGGGCCGCCGACCCAGAAAACGTGACCGCATCCACTGGTACCTGGGGAAGCACTGGAACCGACAAACTCCTGGGACCACCTGGAGCTCTAGAGGCCCTAGGCAACATACAGGGAGTTCCGAGGTGGCTTGACTGGCCACCTTTCTAGATAAACCATGATAAACCATGATAAATGATGATAAATCAAGATAAATCGTGATAAATCATACAGTAATAAATTATGATAAAAATGGTGATAAATCAAGGAATCATAAGGCTGCAACAAGACTTTCACCTTTTACCACGACACGGCACGACTCGGCACATGCTATCGCCGAGTGGCACGGTATCCAGCCCAGGCCCAGGGGCACCTCTTGTTCTCCTGAAGGACATAGTTTTGAAGGATCTCCTGCGGCAGAAACCACCCAAAGAATGGATCAAAAATGATCAAACTATGGCAACATTTAATGGCTAGGTCTGCTAGGTATTTAATGCATTTTAATGCTACATACTTCTGCGATCCCCTTGAAAAAGTGACTTTGGATATCATCAATATTACTGTGACCCTGGTTGGATTTGGGGGTCTGGAGTTTGGAGTCCGAAGGTTGCAATTTGCCGTGCGGGTTTGCATATTGTAGTGTCCGCACAGGGTGCATGCAAAACATGCCCACATTTGCCACCTCTATTTGCGCAACATACTCAAGCCAACTAACTATATCAACAGCCAGCGCATTCATCTGGTAGTTTTTAGGGACCACATCGTCCATGACCATTGGGCTCCATCACCGGCGCTTCTTTTCTGGCGCGCTTGCGCGGTCAATCAGTTGGTCACTTCGAGAACCAGGAAGTTTTCGGACAGGTCAGTTCCTAATGTCCAGGACATCAACACAGAGCTAAAGGGCGGGATGGGGTGGGGTTGATGCGGTCCTCAACCTGGAACTTTCCGGAGTTTTAGCACGCCTCGTGCAACCATCCTGTCTAAACTAAAGATCCTGATACGGTTCTGTTTTGATTTTCAGGGAAAATGACGAAACTCGTTTGCAGCAGTTCTTGATTGGCTTTGCAGGAATCTGGTCTTCTTGCGAGTACTGTCAGCTTTCCATTGAGTTTTATGCCATCATCTGGTTATAAAAGAACCACAGCAAAAACAACCGACAATAAGTCCCGAGCAAAGTCCGTAATTCAAGCCCTTACGCACCCAAAAAAAACAGCCAACCATGTTCGAAACACAGTTTCCCAGTGTATACACCTATAACATCACAAATCATGAGCTCACATCAGCTTCATGGTTCCAATGCACTGTAATGCACTGTCCGAGCATCGCAACTGGTGCCGTCGCAGCATTGAGACGCACTTGAGTCGCAGCATTTCTGCCAAATCTGCGGCAGGGCAGGCTGGGAAATGCCAAGATGCCATGGATTTCTATGGTGATTCTTGATGTTGTTACCACATGTTCCCACAAAACTTACCATTTTGTTGGGGGTATTCCCCACGTCAACACACGATCTCATACGATTTCTCCAGTAAAATGAGAGGCCCAAAATAAAAATGGCACGTCGACGTGCGGCATCTTCTTCCAAGAGTGTCATGCCCATCGCTGGCTCCCAACCTTGAAACTGGTCTGTTGGCATTGTTGCACCTGAAAATCAGCTCGTGAAAAGGAGATGTCCAAAGTATGTCGATAGGCACGGTTTTAGGTCCCTAGAACCACATCTTTCGAATCAACCAGCGGCCAAGAAACAATTCAATCCCTGGGCAAGTCAATGTATAGCATGATGTGAAGTGAAACAGTACTGCATCGTTTGCCTGGTCTTGTCACATTGCCGCCAGGTTTGCATAATGAATGTGTAACAGCCATTAGGCAAAGACACAATGGAACGCATCCCCTCCTTTGGTCCAAGGGGCCATGGTGAAGCCGCTGTTGGCGTTGCCAGCCTGTCGGCTCTCGCGGCACTTGCAACCGATCTTGCTTCGGCATGCTCCTTACCAAGGCGGCTGGCTTGGGTTTGAAGATTGTTTCCATATGTATATATATATATATTTCACTGATTTCAATGGATCCGGACACATCGGGAACCTATATTATAGCTTGATTCTGCCATCTGAATGCATCGGTCGATTCAAACAAGTCTCAAACGAGACTTCAAACCTGGTTCTTAAGGGTCGAGGGGTCCCATTCAAGTTCAGCATCCTTGGCTCGCTCGCCAACAGTAATGGTTTATGTGTTTACAGTGAAATACAGTGAAGCACCATGTGGACATCATGTGCCCCTAACAAACTGCAGCTCCCAAAAAGCGCCTTCGTCGCCATAAGTGTAGCCACCATCGTAGCGACCTGGAGCCGATCAACTGGATTCCCCCTTGCGGCCCTTGCGTATGATGTATGATGCTTGCCGACTGGCAGTTGAAAGTTTAATACGTAATGATAATTTCATGATAGGAAGTGGCCAACCTTCCAGGAAACGATTCAACATATTTCAACATTAATTACATCAGTTCGAAACATGTCAAAACTACCCCCAGCACGTCTTCACCGATCCAGGTCATCTATCTGGATAAGTTATTATATGTTGCTTATATATCCTATTATGTCATCATTACCCGCAGAAAATGCTTGGTTATATATCCTCTACTATATAATTTAACATAGCTACGGAAAATCACCAACTATATTCATATGTAAATCTATACGTTGGCCATGCTCCATAGTACTATGTATGTACTATGCTAAATTACCAAAGGGTACCCTCTGGTAAACAAACATAGCTATTGAACATGGCCATTTATAGTGAGTTGTCCCATTAAAAATTGTGATTTTCCATAGTTATGTTAGTTCACCAAAGGGTGTCCCCAAAGCTTAGATCTGGGTCATCTACTGTCCCGCTGGTCAGCCCCAGCGGCTTCCGCGCGATCCACAGGGCTTCAGGGAGGATGACGCTTTCACAGTGCACTGCTCGCAGACCATGAAGCGCCAGTGATAACCTGCGCTGAGATACAGAACATTAAAACACAGCATTTTCCAGGAAAATCATGGTAAAACAATGCAAAACCATTGGAAAACCATAGGGGGAAAAACATATAGAAAAACCATGAGACAACTCTGTAAGATCTGCCCCTGAACCATGAATTCTCCAACCATCCACTCTCGCACCTGTGAGTCCCCAGCCATAGTCCCGCCATCGTCCAGACGAAGCAGATGCACCAGCAGGGCACAGGAACGTGCTGGCATTACCCAAGTGCTCGATGCGAGCCTAGAAAGCTCATCTTGCCCGGTGACTTGAAGATTCCAGCTTTGTTTTACTATGGTTTAGTTTACTCTATGTTTTACAAAGTCACGAGTTGATGGCAAAATTGATACTTAAGGAATCATGAGTTGAACGCTTCTAGCCCGAACAAACTGAACAAAATAGGCAAGGCCACTGTGTTTGTCAGTATTTCTTTTCGTTCAGAAGACCTGTTTGAACTTGGTCATCGTGTTTTGAAACCTCAACACTTTTCCATGATCTTATATATCAAAGTTTAAGGTGTATTTAATATCTTAATGATATTTGATGATCTGTGTATTCAACTTGCTTTGGATCAACGATTTCAGCAAACACCACCCCGGGTTCTGCGATCTCAACGGTCAAGTCAACTTGGATACACTCCTATAAAGATCTTGCAAGCATCAGGTACAAGTTAATATTATAATATAAGTATAGTATAGATAAGTATAGTGCATACTTTTATTATATCATTTATATACCATGTATTCTTTTACTATCGGAACTTCAACTTCTATTGAATCCATTTGATACTATCGACTATTGGAGGATTCTGGTCAAGAACTGTGACCCAAATTGACACAATTCGAGCTGAGGCTCTGCAAAGCTTGCTTGGAGAAAAGCCAGCAAGCAGAACGACGAAAACATCGTGTAACGAAACCTGGCCAAGAAATGGAGTCCTGGAGTTTACCGCTACAAAACAAAAAAATGCAGTTTACAAACAACAAACATATGGGTTCAAATAAACAAACAGTTTAAATCTTGCAAACGGACATGATAACCAAGACGTCCATGACATCAACGGCATTTGGAACTGCATCATTTTTTCAATTTTTGTATGGGTCAAAATTGAGGCTCAAACATGGTCAAACATGCAGATTGTCAGGGTCTATCCGTCTGGGTCCCCAAGTTCTACTCTGATTGCTCTAAGATCGCAGAGGCTAAAGATGGCTAAAGATGGCTAACGGATATCTTACAAGATCCGCTGCAAAGGCTCCAAAAGAGAACGTGAGGTTCGAGCGGGACAGTATGCATGGCTCACATTTTTTGACATGGAACATCCACTATCTTGAACTCGAGAAACCCATGCATGGTTCGTCATAATGCGAATCGCTGTGAAACGGAACCAAGATCATAGCAAATCCCAAATACCCTAATTTTCTAGCTCACTAGCCCGACACTTTTGGGATATAAAAACACATATAATTATAGATCATAGACATGTATCAAACACACAGTTTAAAGATGTTTAAAGTTGACTGAAATACCAGGGCAATCGCATCGTTCCTCTTCCAACACTCCCCCAGAAACCGGCCTCAGGATTTTCAGACCACGAGCCACGAGAGTTGTCGGCGGCTAAGGGAGCCGAAATAGGATTCAGGCAGCGGTCATCGAGCATGACAGAGAGGAGTCCTTGGGAATTCTGCTTCTCCCTGATTGGAAACCCACCAATTTTGGGGATTTAATTGGATTTTTGGAGAATCAAACAAAACGTCTTTTGGGATCTTTTGATACTGTACCCTCTGGAATTTAAGGTAGCTATGCAAAACATGGCAAAACCACCAGTTTAAACAGCTAAATCAGCATAAATCATCTCTAACTGAGTCATGTTCATCCATTTTCATCCATTTTCCATAGCTATGTCTGATTCCCAAAGGGTACACCAGGGCTTGAAAAATCAGCCCCGGGGATCCCGGCATCGGGGCTCCTGTGTCTCTGCTTCAATCAACTCTTCAGCCTCCGACTCTGACCTCGCCTCAGTGCAAACTTCATCCCCCCGCAAACAAGTAGTGCATTAGATATAGTTATAATATATAAATATATTATATATATATATATTGTATATGCAAATTGTACTGTAAATGTCCCCCTAGAAATCGTGGTTTGGTATGATTAGATGCAATCACGGGGACCAAGCAAATCCATTCCAGCCCGGTGGCCACCAGAAAGTCAACAAAAACCTTTCAAAATGGTGGCCCTGAAGGATGCAGTTTCTCATCCACTTGATAGCAGGATAGCAGGGTTCCATTTGGAATTTCAGGTTTGGATAGGTTTGGCACATTCATCAGGAACTACCAGCTTTGCTGCACATTGACTCACAGAAAATCAACCATCAAACAACTAACGAACTCAAGAACCATCAATTCTAGAGGTATACCCTCTGGTAATTTAACATAGCTATGGAAAATCACAATTTTTCATGGGAAAATTCACTATAAATGGTGATTTTCAATAGCTATGTTAAATCTACTTTGCAATGTGGGGATGCTGTATCTGTTTTTTCTGCTCCCCATATAGCAGGGCAGCCACAAGGATAACAAGCGTCCCTCGCTCCTCCAATATCAACTTCAGTCCATCAATCAATCAATAAACAATTTATTTATATAGACATATATCATATATCTATAGCCATTTATTCTTAAATTTATTAAATATACACCTGGGCCTTCAATTGATACTTACATTCTGGCTACGATTTTTTCCGGTGCAAGATACGGAAAGTGTAAAAATACACACACACAAAAAAAAAATGCGAATCAATATCTCAACCCATTCCCAATGAAGAGTTACCTATTTGTCATTGCTTGGTTCATTTGCAAATATTTGCGTTGGTTTTGTGGATATTTCTGCTAGAATTTGCACTTCAAAGAACGCCCGAATTTCTGGCGTTCTATTCTCCAGCCTGCAGATGAACAGAGGGAGGCATAAATTTACCTAACATGAACGTTCATAAGTGAATCATAAGTGAATCATAAGTGAATCATAAGTGAATCATAAGTGAATCATAAGTGAATCATAAGTGAATCATAAGTAACATTCATAAGTAACATTCATAAGTGAATCATAAGTAACAAGTAGCAATCAAAGGTTCAGGTATACATCTCACCAGCGAATACATGAATAGCATTTAACAGCCGCGTTAAAGTCATTAAAAAACGTAAACTAGTCTTAAAAGCCATCAACATGTTCCTTCCTTAAGCACCCCCAAAAAACAATGCTTTAGTAGGGGATGAACCCACATATTTTGGACCATAGAACGGGGGTATCAAAAATATCAGGGGGCGGGGGAAGTGATTCATCTTACTCATAATGCTACAGTATAGATGTTATATTTACATATTATATATATATAAATATATATATGTGTGCGTGTGTGTTTTTATTTACATATAGGTTGCCTCAAACTTACAGGTTTCCAACTTTTTACATCTATTTTGCGGTTGCTATAAATCAATATGCAATCCGGAAATCAGCCACATGGCAATTGAAATCTCCCCATGGATGGCCCAGGCGCATTGATGAAGGCCAGCGAAGCGATAATTCCCATGAGTCCAGCGCCTAGCCAAGGTGACCATGGAAGGATGGCCCTCTGGGAATTTTCCGGGGATTTGATCTACCCTCTGGTTATTTAACATAGCCATGGTATAGATGGCCCAATTATAGATGGTTTACCTATTAAACATGGTGATTTTCCATGGCTATGTTAAATAACCAGATGGTATATTTTCTATGGTTTTGTAATCATTTAAATCTAAGATGTTTTTTGGGGAAGGCATTGCCCACTGCTAGTTCATGCTAGTTGAACAGTTTGCTGATGAAACCATGACCCATGTACAGATGTTTACCTATTAAAACTCATTTTTGTCCATATAAACCACTAGAGGGTATAGAACGCAGTGTAATTTTCAAGATTATTCCCATTTCCGTATATTTCCGTGAGCTTTATTTTGAACATATCCGCTTGTCATGGCATTTGACATACATTAATTATTTAATATTATTTATAATATGGGACATATCGGATGAGTATAGTTCTGTACCCTCGGATGAACTGGTCGATTATGCGCACTTCTGTGCTGGTCAACTCCAAAATCTCCAACTGCCGGCCTGTAGCCATCCCAAAGACCTTGGAGAAAATGGCCACCAATGCGACGAAGACCTTGGGACACTCACAGCCACTTAACGCATGTCCTGGAACTTCAACCTTTAGCTGGGATCGCCAATTAATCCCCACCCCCTAATACCCGCCGCGGACCCATGGTTTAGTATTTGATCTATTTATTTTGGGATCCCTTCTCCCCTTCAGTTGGATTGGTTCACTAAGAGTCACTCTCAATGTCCTGACCTTCCAGCCCCCAACTCATCCTTCTGGGCATATCCCATCTGAGGGGAACGCTCCAAGGAGCACCAAGCAAAAAATGAACACGGGCAGCGTGACCTACAAAACGCGGCAGCATTGATGTCACGATTTTCAGCTTTGCTGCCCAGGATGGAAACTGGAAACAACACTGATCGCCCTGGAAATTGCCGTGAGCGTCGCTTCTAAAGCTCTCCTTCAACACCAATTGTTCCATTGCCCTTGTCTGTTCGCCTTTGCACGAACATCTGCCCAATCCAGCGGCATGCCATGGGCAACACAACACTTCAAGAGATACGCATGATGTTCAGCTCTGCATGTCATTAGCTGCACTGTTGGTGATGAAGTTCAGTTAGCATGTCACTAGGGCATTTGTCTATACTCTGGTTGGTTTTGCTTTGTTCTTGCCGCCAGTGTCTCTCAAAAGGCTGGTAAAGCAAACTCGAATACATAAAAACTAAAAAGATTCAATCCTCTCGAAGTAGCTTTGATTTTTGTGACTTTGCTGACTTTGCTTGTACCTGTGCGATTCGAATGGTCCGCTTTAGGACACGTCTGTGCTGGCAAATTGCAAGTGAAGTGCTGGGCAAAAGCGTTTTATCCAAAATTAATCGATCCCAGTATACAGTGACTACCCTCTGGTTATGTCAAAATAGCTATTGAAAATGACCATAGAAATAGTGGATTTTCCCATTAAACATGGTGATTTTTCCATAGTTATGTTAGTTTACCAGAGGGTAATTATACTGAAAGAGGTTTCTAATGTACGTAATTGAGAAAGGAGTACCAAAAATTAGCGACCTTATCACAGGAAAGTTGGTCTTCAAAGTGTGCAGTACCTGGCTGACTTCAGGGTTGACTTCTGCTTCGGTAAACCATGGCTCGTAAACTATGGATCGTAAACCATGGCTCGTAAACCATGGCTCGTAAACCATGATTCGTAAACCAAGACTGCCATGACTCGTAAACCATGGCTCGTAAACTATGGATCATAAAACAAGATCCGTAAACTATGCTCCGTCAACTATGCTTCGTAAAGCAAGATCTGCAAACTATGCTCCGTCAACTATGACGTGTAAGATGAGACTGTGCATGTACTTGCCAGAGGGGGTGGGATTTTGATATGACGTGGAAGATGAGACTGTGCATGTACTTGCCAGAGGGGGTGGGATTTTGATATGACGTGTAAGATGAGACTGTGCATGTACTTGCCAGAGGGGGTGGGATTTTGATATGACGTGGAAGATGAGACTGTGCATGTACTTGCCAGAGGGGGTGGGATTTTGATATGACGTGTAAGATGAGACTGTGCATGTACTTGCCAGAGGGGGTGGGATTTTGATATGACGTGGAAGATGAGACTGTGCATGTACTTGCCAGAGGGGATGGGATTTTGATATGATGTGTAAGATGAGACTGTGCATGTACTTGCCAGAGGGGGTGGGATTTTGATATGATTTGTAAGATGAGACTGTGCATGTAGTTGCCAGAGGGGGTGGGATTTTGATATGATGTGTAAGATGAGACTGTGCATGTACTTGCCAGAGGGGGTAGGATTTTGATATGATGTGTAAGATGAGACTGTGCATGTACTTGCCAGAGGGGGTGGGATTTTGATATGATGTGTAAGATGGGACTGTGCATGTAGTTGCCAGAGGGGGTGGGATTTTGATATGATGTGTAAGATGAGACTGTGCATGTACTTGCCAGAGGGGGTAGGATTTTGATATGATGTGTAAGATGAGACTGTGCATGTACTTGCCAGAGGGGGTGGGATTTTGAGATTACGTGTAAGATGAGACTGTGCATGTACTTGCCAGAGGGGGTGGGATTTTGATATGACGTGGAAGATGAGACTGTGCATGTAGTTGCCAGAGGGGGTGGGATTTTGATATGATGTGTAAGATGAGACTGTGCATGTACTTGCCAGAGGGGGTGGGATTTTGATATGATGTGTAAGATGAGAATGTGCATGTACTTGCCAGAGGGGGTGGGATTTTGATATGACGTGGAAGATGAGACTGTGCATGTAGTTGCCAGAGGGGGTGGGATTTTGATATGATGTGTAAGATGAGACAGTGCATGTACTTGCCAGAGGGGGTGGATTTTGATATGATGTGTAAGATGAGACTGTGCATGTACTTGCCAGAGGGGGTGGGATTTTGAGATTACGTGTAAGATGAGACTGTGCATGTACTTGCCAGAGAGGGTGGGATTTTGATATGACGTGTAAGATGAGACTGTGCATGTACTTGCCAGAGGGGGTGGGATTTTGAGATTACGTGTAAGATGAGACTGTGCATGTACTTGCCGGAGGGGGTGGGTTTTGGTTGCTGAGGTTTGGTTGC